CAGACGGATTTGGATTCAGATGGTGATGCTGATCAAGAATATATATACTTTATGGGGTCTGAGGTGTCTCCTTCACTGCGTTGCAAACTTCTGACTGAAATTATAATACCCTTTTGCTCTGCAAGGGTATAAAAAGGAACTGATTAAGAAAATGCTGTCCTGACAACTTAAATAAATATTGAATGGAACTATAGTTTTAAAGCTTTGTACTTGTACTCTTTTATCTAAGAACTCTATAACTTTTGACTAGTGTATTGTAAGGAGAAACTCAGAACTTGAGTAGTGCAAAATGCAAACATCTGCTGCCCAGTGGCTCCACCCGAGACCCAATCGAGAAGGTCCCAAGGATTCTGGGGGTTGCTGGGCGAGTGTCAATGACCTGCTGCTCCTTTGACTTGATGCTAACGAGCACGTGAGGCAAGTGTAGCGGAAAATGAGCTAATTTGTGCTGCGTTTCTTTTGGTTAACTCCAACTGCCACGTGTGGCTCCCCACTTTTCCTCCAGGACTCTGGCTAAGGAAGAAGTCAAGAAATTCAATTGCGAACATAAATCATGCCCGAGACGAACTTGCAGGACACCAGACAGGATGAACACGCAATCAGCTGTTTGTCACAAAGCATATCGGGTGAACGAGGATGTGTTCGAGTGAGTGCTTGGCTGTGGGGCTCTCCTTTTCTAGCGGGGGGCATGTCAATCAAGCCGCAAGCCACCACTAGCACCCACAACCTTGGCTGCACCACCAAACGCCCACCCACAAGTTTTCGAAAGGGAGTGAGCTAAAGAAAAAGGACTCAAATCGGGCCAGTCTCAAAATCATGCTGAGGGTGTCAAGTTTAACTTAAGGTGAATTGACTACAGTTGTACCCAAGAATATTTGTTAATATAATATATCACATCTGAACTTATAATAATTACTGTCTTAAGAACTTCAAAACTTTTATACCATTGATTAATTTTGAACTAAATTAAATACAGAACGTCCTTAGTTCTTTATATATTTTTTTTAAGATTGCTTATCCAAACTAGTAAGGTACCATTAACCTCTTTCCTTACAGGGTATCACAAAAGGCAGACTCAATAGAAGCGATTTCATCGATGGCTCTCCAAAGCGTAGGCGATAATTTATTTAACAATGTGTGGCATGCGTTCTTCTGGGGAGCCCGAGCCAAGGCTTTTGTCCATTGAAATGTAAACGCTTTGGGATCTGATGCCCTGGCCAACAACTGTGAGCTGGCTGGATGGCTGGGAAGCTGGGAAACATTTGTTGCCCCGGGGCTAGAACAAAGGAGAGAATCGTTTTTATCTGCCACAGCATTCACTCCTTTATTTGCCAAGTGCAAATTGCAAAATGATATTAGGGGGTGGATTCATCGCTGCACCAAGGGGGTTGGCCCCCTTTCGGAAAAGCCGTCAGAATGGTAGAATGGCAGAATGGCGGGGTGAAAGTGGAAAGTGGAAAGTGCGTCCGGCACACCAGCTCGCCCGTAATGAGCACGAACAAAATTAATGTGATTTGTGTCGAAGGGTGCAACGACTGTATTATCGAGCGGGAAAATCCCAGGAACACAGGAAGCCCAACGATGCTGGTATTGTGGCTGGCAGCAGATTTCTATTTGCACTTGTAATTGGCGCGCTGGTCCGGGGGATCAAAACCAATCCATAAGCCCTAACACTCCCCCCGCCGATTTTGCTGCACAGTCATCGACTTTAATAAATAATTGAGCGCACAACAACTCCCCAAAAATAAAAGTGAAAAATGTTTGATACGTGAAAATTTTCGCATTTTATTGCTGCTTTTTTGCTGTGGGCTAACAGGCGTCCCCTTTTATCAAATTAAGTCCATTTGCCGGATTGTTCGAATAAATATTTTATCACAAACATTTATTTTAAAATATTGTGCAATTGGAATTGATTTTTTATGCGGTCGGGCGTAACAAAGATAAAAAAGCTTGAGCTTAATTACTATAGTTGGTTTTCAATATTGAATTCGAGCAAATAATTCTTTAAAATTTTATTTAATCCTATATTTTGTATTTTTTATAACAAAAGCGCAATTTTTCGCTCCTTCATTATTAATGTCTGTTGTCCATCATCAACTCCCATTTAATACACATTAATGAAGATGATGAATACGTTATTGAAATGACCACAGCACTTGACCGCAACAACTTGTCCCAAACAAAATGCATTATAATGATTTATGGAGGCGAGCTGCTGTCCAAAAAATCAACCCTCTAGACAAATTAACAAGGATATATGATGATGATGATGCTTCTCTCCAAAACACACACACACACACACACCCGCCCAAAAAACAAAGGCTGTCAAAGCCACAAAGAGACACTCGACCCAAGCAGATGCCCGAAGGTGTTTTCCCCACCAAGTTTAAACAAAAATTAAAACACCTACCCTCCCCCATTCGATGGCCACGACCTCTCAGTCCCTTTTCCTTCCCTGAACTTGAAGCTAATCAAAAATGTTACACAAAAGACCGAAAGGAAGGAAAAAAGGAAATAGAGTTTAAGCTTCGATTACAACGAACTCATTTTACACTCTCCTTTGAGAGGTTACTTTAAAGGTTTTGGCTTTAATGTTTGGATATTTTAATAAAATTTAAGACTGGAAAAGAAATAGAAATTAGAAGTAAATTTAATGTTAAAAGGTTCTTATTGTATCATTCTCTTTATTACGTTTAACTACGTTTCTTAATACAATATATTTTTTTTAGTCTTCCTAAAAGTTATTCTACCCGATCCTGATGGAAAACAAAAACATAAACGCAAAACTTGTGTTAAGCGAAAGTGCAAAAGTTGCTTAAGGAGTTTTTCTGCGCAAACATCAACCACCGAAAAAAATCATAAAAAAAATTTACCAACTTGGATGAAACTTTTTGTTGTAGTTGGCGAGTAAGCCAACATTGTTGCCATGATTAGCATTTTATCAGCAGATCCTTTGGCTCATCATGCCGTGTCTTAGGACAAGCACTTGGGCATCTTTATGGTAATTTAGTTTTTGCTAAGATGCGGCAACAGCTGACAATGTTGCAGGAATTTCGCTCCTTCAGAAAGGAATAAGGAAAACCCCCCTCCCCCAGCTCACTCCCTTAAAGTTGACTGGTAGGCAAGTCGTACTTGCCACATGAGGAAGCTGCGTGTCACATAATCAAAATCGAGGCAAACACAACCTGCAGGGTGCTTTTTATGTTTTTATGTGCGGATCCCATTAATTTATTGCCAGAGACATTGAGACACCTCCAGCCGAACAAAAGGCGACATTATTATTTCATTATTATGCCAAACGCATCAGGATCTCGCTCCCCGTCCCCATTGCACGTGGGCGGGTTCATGTTACCATGTTACATACTGTACGGTGATGTACGGGATTCTGCGAGGATGGAACCGGAATAAAGGCCTCTGGAGCTGGAGGTGGCAGATGATTCATGCGCTGGCAAATTTTTTGACGCCCGCCACATAAATAAAACAGGCGGCCCGGGGAGCTCAGACATATGTTTGGATAGTCCCCGGGTCAAAGGTCCCCGGTCCAGAGGCTGTAATATTTACTCGTAAATATTTTTATAGGCACTAAGGTTTCCGCTGCGGGTGAACAAAGCGCGAAAAGTCCACAAAAGCAGGTGCTCTATAGAATTGAATTAAATATTTGCTACAAAAGGAAAACTTGTCCCTCTCTTTACTTAGGTTTTGGTAAATTCACGAAAATTCATTCGGGCTACGCTCTTGCTAAAAAGTTTTTAATTAATAAAGTCTTTGCTCTTGGTTAACTAAAGATTTCAATAAAGTGGAGGAACTTAAGAAAAACAAGGCAAACAAATTTAATTGCTTTTTATCAATTATATCATTCAATTTCAAACGGTTTATAAAGCCTTTTATTAAGTTTCTTTTTCAAATGATGGAAATATTTAAATTGCAAATCGTTCCACATCATAAAAGCTCGGTTTTCCGATTGACTGCTTTATTTTCCACAAACACACTTCATATTCGCCCTGCCAATTTGTTCGATAAATTTCCAATTTGCCAAAATCAACAACGTTAAATACCTGCACACACACACAAACATGACAACCCACCTTTTTCCACAGCGAACTTTTGACTCCTGCTGCTAATCCTTTTGTGCGTGCGCGTGTGTGTGTAAACCATTTAGCGCCAATTAAAACATAATTGCGGCATTCGCGGATAGCGATCGGACACTAAATCATTCTCGGCAATTTTCGTGTTCCGTTTGCCAGGACGAAAATTGCGGCACATTAACGTTGAGAAACCACATCAAATTGCAAAAAGCGCGGGCGAAAAGGCGAAAACACTTGGGCGCCATTCACCGTTTAATGGCGTCAATTCAATCTGAGGCGCACTTTAATCTTATTGCACTTGTAACGTTGATTAAAAACACAGAACCACCGTTATCGCCCACACAGGCAAACATTTTAATTTAAGGACGTAAATCCGACGAGAGATTTTTGGCTGGAAATCTCGAGCGCGGAAACCACCCGCAAAACCACCACACGCCGCCGGCTAAGAGAAATAACTGTTATTTCGCGCTGCTCCTTTTGGGGATATCACCCCGAGTGGTGAGTTTCGATCAGCTGGCTTTGGGGTAGCATCATAATAACGGAAATAGGGGTGGAAAGCGTTCGAAATTGCCGGGCTTTTAACTGGTGTATATAGGAATTTACATACAAATTTTACTGCTGGTATTCCACCTGGTTATGGACATTGACTGATTTATATTTATTTATAAGTCTCTGGTTCAATAACAATAAATAAAACAGTGTTTAATTCAAACACTTCAATAACTTTTCTTTTTAATTTTTATACGTTTTGCGATATTACCCTATAGTACTGCACATCGCAAAATTACCCACCTCTATGTATTTGTTAGAGCATATTTTTCGTGACGTCCGAAACGGTCACACTGCGTCGCACATTTTTTGGGCGAAGTGAATTGATTCGAATTCAGTTGTTTTACTTATTTGCCTGAAAAATCAAAATGCCAGCGGTTGTGCGAATTAAGCGACGCATCGACGAGGAACCCCACACCGCATTTGTGCTCAATGGCAAGCGGCGGCGGCTTCACAACGATGAGAATTCTCTTGAGGATTCGGGAGCGGTGGCGGGAGCATCGGCATCAGACAAAGACGAATTGACCACCGTGCTTAAGTTTGCCGGCACGCTGGAAAATCAGGTGAGAAATCAGCATCCTTAATTTTTTACGTAGAAGCAAAGTTTAATTTTTACTAAAACCGAACCGAAGTCCTCCCTAGTCATTAAATATGTTATAAAAAAAACTGTAGAGGTCGATGTCCTTCAAGTTCTTCAATAGTTAACAGTACTAGTTCAATGAACTTACATATGTTTGAGAAACTACAAAATTTAAGATTTTTCACAAAAAAAATACAAGACAGAATATGCAGAATAATTAAATTCTTATCATGAAAGGCTACACACATATATGGACTTTTCAGATATATGTATATGTACTACATTGGGTAAAACTGATTTGAGCTGAATGCCCATGTTTACTTATCTGCACATATTTCGAATCAAATTAAAGCATAAAACTTTTCTTAATTCCTCTTTAGGACGACTGTGCCACTCGTCAATTTGCTGCTGCCAGGCTGAACAAAACTACGGCCCGTGAGTTGGTGCAACAGCAGCGATCCAATGATGCAGCCATTGCCAGTGCCCTGCGGCGTGACCGCCAGCGCCAGGAGGCCCAGCAAAATGCTCGGGAACAGCGTTTCCGGGTGGTAAACTGTCTGCGAAGCACCCTCGAGGACAATGCCACAGAGGCGGAAAGTTCGGAGAACCAAAATCAGGAGGCCAGGAGTCACATAACCATTGTGGACATTGAGTCACAACAGCAGCAACAGCAATCGGGAGCACAGAACCCCGATAATCAGGATCCCCAGCAGCTTATAGAGCCCAACCATGATCAGCAACAACCCGCCGACTCCGATGTGGGTTATGTTTACGATCTTTATGTTCCTGAGAATGAGATGCAGGCCGCCTACGTCGATATGATGGACGACAACTATCTAAGGTTCGTCATACATATTGAGCCACAGAAAACGTTCAGCCTTACCAATTTCTATATGTAACCGATTACTATATATAAATATTTACATATGGGATATATTGTGTAAGCGGTTTGTCTGTGTGTCGGTGCTAGCGTATCTGTGTGGGTGTGCGTGTGTCTGTTTTCGTAGTCCTCGGGCCAAGTCTCATTTTGCATATTACCTTTTACCATAAAGACATAACTGCAATCACTGATTATAGCTCAATAATTACGATTCGTTCTCCATAAGGTTGTATTATCCGTTTAATTACTACAACAACTGCTACTGGTAAATCAGGCAAAATCAATCACACAAAGAGAGAGAGAGACAAAGCCCAGGCAATTAAGAAGTGTGATGACACCCAACATGCCACCCACGACAATAAAAAGGACTGCAACTGGCCACTCACATCCCGAATAGTTCATTAATAGCAGCATCTGACAAATGCCTAAAAAACTACCGATTTGATGGAATGTTTTTATGAGATTAACACGGCAGGATTGTTTCGAATCTGCGCTGGTCTAAAAATTAAAGCTGCTGAAAACAATTTCCTTTTAAGAATCTGTTGACAAATTTGAGTTTGTGAGATTCCGCCAAACGTTAATAAAACTATGTTATTCCATATTACAATTAACAAATATGTTATGATACAAATAAATTAATTAATAAATCATAAATATGTAATATTTTCATAACTCTTGCTTGCCAAAGTTTTCTAATAAAAAAATTAATATTTTTAAGAATTTTATTAAATGCGAAAAATAGTTTTCATTCACTTCTTCGATAAATAATTCAGTATAGCACAATTAGTGTATTCTCTCGATAGAATTTTAGGCAAATGTCACATTACCATAAGTTTCTAGATTTAATTAGCTATTAGATTAGTATGATTTAGCTTCACACGCGCACACACACACTTCGCACACTCTAGAATCTTTTCACTGTGTATTTTTCATTTATGTTTCGCCAGTTGTCAGTTGCCTATTTTGTTCCTTTGTTTTCATTCCCAAAAAAACACAGAAAACAATAGTGCTGAAGTCTAATTAAGCACATAGTTTTAGTTTAGTTGGCTTCAGTTTTGTTGGGGTCTAGCGTTGCCCGAAATCGAATGTAAACTGAATAAAGAAATCAACTTAAATACATGACAAAATTGGCTGTGTTTCTTTTTCAAGTGCTTCACAATCGAGGCTCCCAAATAAACCCATTAATTATTTTGACTATTCCACAGAGTGATTCCTGTGGGTGAGATTGTGCTAGAGGATTGCTACAATGATCAGGACGAGGACTACGATTCGGAGGACTCGAATCAGGAAAAACTACTTTACGAACGACTATCCCGATGATGAGGAAGCGGAGGGCATGGGATCTGATGACGAGCTGGCGCGGCAAATGAACAAGTTTATGCTCGGTAAGCTCTTGTTAATTGTTTGTATTCATAAGCCTAAATTGTTCTCTTTTAGATGATGATGAGGATGATTATCCCAGCACCAGCGACGATGAAGATTATGCCAAGTACCACGATCCTTACGTCCATACGATTGACACCGAACAAGACTCGTTTGTGGATGATGTTGACTTTTATAATGTTGATCGAGAACGGGGCAGCGCCTATGAACGCTATAAGCGAAGAGTTCTTAAAGAATTGGAGGAGGGTCACGAAGACGATGATGAGGATTCGTTTGCCAGTGCTGATGAAGAATGAAAGCTGAAGAAATCATTAAAAAGTGTAGAAATGTAATTTCTTAATGTTCTATTTTGTTTTTCGGCTACAAAAATGAAGTTGTCGTTAGATTTTAGTTGTGCTTAGGACTGTAATTTGTAAGAAATGTATGAATAAGAGTTTCTCTAATGCTCTAAAGATTATTGCACTTTTATCATCTGTACTTTTTGGTATCCTTTTTTTTCTCAGACTTGATGTGTTCAATTTGGGGTTTTGGTGCACAACCCTCCATATAAAGTCGCAGAGTCTCTTCATCCATCTTTTCGTTATCTTTGGGAGGTTTGTAGTCCGCTACATGATCCACTCTCAGGGTTCTATCGATGATCTTAATGCCATTTAGGTTGTCAACGGCCAAAACTGTGGATCTCTGGTCCTCGTAGCACAGGAAACAAAAGCCCTGCAATGTTAAAAGAAAGCCGCTTTTATTATCTTAACTTTTTGTATAGAAAAGTACTTTATTACCTTGGATTTCCCAGTTTTGGAGTCGCGAACTAGATTTATGTTGACCACTTCGCCGTACTGGGAAAACACGCAGATCAAATCTCCCTCGGTAAGCACGTACGGAAATCCAGCAACGAAAATCCAGGCAGAGTCCTTGTACATGTCGTGCCAGCTCTTTTTCCCTCCATGTTGCAGTTCGTGCTCGCTCAGTTTGAGCACATTTTTCATATTTGTCAGCGGATTCATTATGAAATTATAATTATTTGATGTTTTTGTTTATGATTTGGAGATAGTATGACCGTTTGAAGATTAGTAAAAAACCCTCCCATATACAAAACTGGCTATGTTTGGTTAATGTACTCGCTAGCTCAGAGGGTGTATCCGCTAACCTAACATTTTTTAGTCTAGAGACGGTAGAGCATCGATAGTCGTTTAGAAAAAATCGATTTTCTGTTTTATGGATCTAAGCATTGCCATCGATATTTTCTTACCACCTCCAATTTGTTGTTGTGTCGTAAAAGTCTGGAACTGAGTTAATTGTGCGGACGGCGAAAACTGAAAATGTTGTAATATTACCACGGTAGCACGGCCAGTGATCTATTCGGAAAAAAAGGTGTGTACAAATGCGAAAACTCGGATTACATAGCTCCCAGTCTGACTGTGTACGGTTAGTGCCTGTGCGGGTGTGTGTTCCTGCGTACTCGTGTGCGTGCGAAGGAAAAAAGATATGCTGAAAAAAGTATCTCTTCTCTATTTAAAAATGTGTGTCAGTGTATTGTGCGGCAGCAACAAAAATAATAAATAATAGCTGCCGCTCGGCGACTGCTTGCTGAAAAAGAGAAGAAACCGTTCAGCGTCTTTGGGGTCTTTTAATTGTGCCAAAGCCATTGTTTTATCATTTTCTCATCATCATTCAAGACGCGTTCTGTGCCGAATAACAGCGAATAACGCCCCGTCTTTTTTTCGACTTTATTTTGCGAAGGAAGCTGAGTGATTTTCCCTCTCTGTCTGGCCCACGCAACTATGCCTGCGCCTTGCTATTGGAATAGTTGGTACGTAAAAGATATAAGTGCGACATGTCCGTTTCACACTAGATTTTTGTCACCCTGTGCCAGCCGCACTCACACCAGCATAGCTACAAACACACACACACTCTCACCTGAGACAACTCCACCATATGTCTGTCTGTCTTTCTGTCTGTTTTTCCTTAACACATTCACATTCCACCCCATTAGCAGTGCCTCTCTTACGTACAGCTGCAGTCAAAATAATAGTAATGGGCCCTCGGCCGTTACGTATCTTGCTGGGTTTTTTAAAGTCCTTGGTAATGGGAGAAGAGCGAACAAAAGCATTCCTTCAAAGCTGTTTTCTTTTGTCTTACAATTCAACCCCAGAAAGAAGTGGGTTTTGAACCCTTAGTAATACCAATTGAAACTTTACCACGTTGTTCTTTTTCGAATAAAAAAATGTTCCTAACTTTTCAAATAGTTTGGTTATTTGTTCAAACGCCTACTGAGACGTTTGTGTGTTTTGCCATTGTTACACTCAAAAAAAAATTCTCTTGAAAACTTTTCAAACGTATAACTCTGACAACCCTTCAGAAAACGTTGTTTCTCACCCCCTTATAAGCATTTGATAAACTTTTGAAAACACATTTCCTAAATCAATTCAAAATATTGACCTCCACTGTACGGGCAGTTTGTCTTTTTGTTTTTGTCCACGCAAAAGGAGGAAATATGTATTTTTCTTTGCTTGTTTTTAATGTTTAGGTGTGGTCGTGCTTTAGTTGCGGGCTTACACATATCCAGTTGTATGTACTTCTTCAAGCGGAAGCGGTCGTAAAAAAAGTTTTCGTGGCGCTGCCCACACGGTTGACATTGAACTCTCGCCTGTGTCTCCACAAAAAAATCTCGCTCTCTCCTGCTCCTGCTCTTGCCCATGCCCCACTCCCCATCTCCTGCCACCCACTCTACTGACTGATTTTCGGCTTGCTCTGTTACTTTCCAAAAAAGCCAACTCCTGGCCTTTCATTTTTTTTCGCTCGCCGGCCACATTTACTTTTCTTTATACCCTTTTGGCAAAAGTTTTTGTGAAAGGAGTGTTGAAGCAGGAATAAAAATCACTTAGCAGATATTTTTAGCCGAAGACTAATTGTTTGGGCGGATTTGACTTTTGCTTACCAATTTTATGCTCATCATCGGAGTTGAAGGATTTCTACAGCTGTTGTATTGTAATTGCATAAAAATATATATTCAATCCTAAACCTTTTTCTTTTATTTACTTAATGGTTATAATATAAAAGAAAATCAGAGTGGACTCGTCATATATCCCCGCCCAGCCTTATATCTCCCCCATAAATCGAGCTACATCTATTCTGTGGGAGCATTTTGGGTTCATGTTGACTCATTTTGGCCGTTGTGTGCGGGGGCCTCTGCGAGCAAGCTTTCTCGTTATTATTATTATTACGAGATATGTACAGATATGTACTGGGGGAAGCGTACATATGTACATGCGGCTCCTACTGTGTGGTTATTATGTGGCTCACGTCTCTGGGAAAGATTCGCGCCGCGACTGCGCACGATTATGGCACAATTCGAGTGACGAGAGCAAAGTTGACTGCGCTGCGGCCGCCTGTTGCAGAAAACGTGTCAAGTTGGCCAGATACATCTACTATACTATATGTTTATTCGCCGCTGCCTTATTTTTCCGTGCGGCGGCTAAATGTGCAAGAGCATAACCAACCGAACCGACCAACTGCTGCCCCCGGCGAGAGCCCCCCGAATCCGAGTTCGATTAATTTCGTTGCGCCTCGGTAGCTGTGCACTCAACTCAAACATCCGCTCAAACGGACGGCGGCGGGCGAGCTCACACTAATTCCGATGGGGAACGTTTACCTCGCCGTCGACCAACCCATTACACATTACCCACTGCCCACATCTGCCGGTCCCCTGGAGTCCCCTTCTTCGGCGGCATACCTTCCAGAAAACCCTTTTTATCTAGGGGGTGTTGCGAGCGTTGCTCGTTTGACGACATCTAAAACACTGGACTGCAGGGCATTGGTTCACTGAAATGTGTGCAGCGAACCTCTGAGATATCGTGTTTTCTTCGATTTTGTAAGCTCTGTAACTGGATCTTTGCAGTACTAGTTTTTGATGTCCTAGAAATTACTTTAAAAACACAATTTGCAACCATATCAAATAAACAATACTTTTCAAATGTAATCTAAAGATAAATCTTTATAATCTCACATATTAAGTATTACATCTGAAGTATTTCTTAATGTTTATGATAGAACTTCTAAGTGATTCCGTAACTCCATAACCACTTATTGTGTTGCCCAGTGCACATAGCTTACAATAGCAGAAACCCAAAACATTTCAAAGAAACTGACAACAACAATTCGCTGCTTTACGCTTTTTACCTTGTATCTTATTGCTGTTTACACCTGTTCATTCCGACGCCGTCGTCGTCGTTTTATACCCGCATTTTGTTCTTGCTTACATTCATGTAAAAAATTCTTTTTAAACGCTCCATATTTGGGCGATTGACACGCCTTCTTGGCTTTTGCGGCTTTATGTACCATACGAGCGGGGGAAATGCCAAACCCACACGCAGAGTGCAAGAATTTTCGGGTTGGCGGGCTTTTGTAGCTGCTGCTGATGTTGTGTTTCATATGCGTATCAAATAATTGAGCTCAATTGATTTCAATTAAAACTGACAAGTCGCTGGGGCTTTTTTTGTTGTTGTTGCTGCTTTTATGGTTGTTAGTGCTAAGTCATATGAAACAAAAACCATCAAAATGCCTCAAATGTGCTCTGTGTGTGCTGCATGAGCTGAGTCGAATGAGAAATGCGCTAAGAATTATTCGGTTCCCTAGGAAGGCATTCAAAAGTTGAACTTTTGAGGAACACAACAGCTGATAATCTGAAAAGTAAATAAATATTAATACTTTATTGACACTTATTGATCAAATAGTACATCAGTTACACTATCATTTGTTCGTGTATTAAATTAACATGATCTCGGTTGGATGAGAACATGATTACCTGCTGATAAGACTTTAGCAATCATTTAAACTGAATGTGATTGCTAGAAGTTCTAAAAATATTTGTAAGCTTTAGTTTTTGATAACAATACTTTTGGTGGTTTGCTGATTTGGTTTTCAATTATATATCCAGCTATTCATACCGAGTCTAAGATAAGAGAAAGTCCCCCCTTTGGTTTGTGACTCACCAATGTGACACAGAATAATTTTAAATAACATATAATTAATCAGTGAATCACCTTAGCAAGTAGAAGGAATGGAATGTTGTCGGATTTGAATAATTGGAGCTTGAATTGTTATAATTGCACATTTTTAATTTATCGATAGACAAGTTCTCTGATTTCTAATAAGCATACAAGCACTTACCTTTGTATCGCAAACAATAAGGTGAGGCACCAAATTGGGAAAGCAGACTCTTCTAAAGGCAAACATTTTTATATCGAGCGCCCCCGCAAATGTAAAAAACTATTATAAAGATTTATAGGTTCATTCCCATTGTGGAAAGATCGTTAAATATATAAGGTTATGCCTCAAAGAAGAAGATAGATTTGCGGATTAAATTCGTTACCCAGAAATGTCTTGAAAATTAGGACTTGGTTTTATTTCTTTATTTTTAGAACCACAAAACCCTAAAGAATTCGTACGAACCGCTGTCCATCTAAACGATCTTTCGCTTTGCTACAGGAATAGATATTCAAGAATAGCTCCTCGAAATGCCACATTCCTATAAGGGAAGATCAACCCTTCAAATGTGCAAACAACTCAACTTATATGCCCGGCAATTCGTAGAGCACAATTGTCTATTAATACGAACAAGTTTCATATGGAGGGTGATATTTTGTGTATATTTTCGTATTTGTTTATGAATTTCAACGCTTGTGCCAATTGCCCCCGTTTGTTGTTATTGCCGTTTGTCTTATTGAAATTCAACACTTTATTTAACAATTCATATGCACGGCCACTCAGTCGTTCCATCGCTTGGATAGAAATGAATAATAATTAAATTATATTGCTTCTGTCTGTGTCTCTCTGACGTTTGCTTCTAAATATTTGGCCACTGCGCTTTCTTCCAGCAGCTGCTTCGCATATTTGTTAATGTGATTTTTATTGTACGACTTTTTTTTGCTTTTGTTTATTTTTTTTTTTGTTCAAAAATTTGGCATGCCGGCGCCACGAGCCTAAGACAACGTAAAGAAAAAATATTTGGATATTGGCCGGCCGCGTGTGTTTGGCTTTACTTTTGTATACGTATATATTTTTTTTGATGCGCGCAAAACTTTCACTTCCATTAAAAAAATATAAAGTCTGCTCGGCGGGTTTCTGTGTGTGAGTCTTTATGTGTACCTGTTTTGTCGACAACGTTAAATGACATTAGGCTAGGTTTTATGGTTCGCTGGAAGAGATGAGAGATGAGTTTGGGGGCAGGTGGCAGGTGGAGTTCGAGTTGGAGAGCAGGCGAAATTCTGCACAAATGTCAAAGTAGAAAATTTACATGGGCAGCGGAATTGAACGATTTCGCTTTTCTTTTCTACCCTTTGCTTTCCCATTTTTTTTTTTTTTTCATTTTATCTGATGAACTTTTTTATTGCCCTAACAATGCGATTTTAATGGTCCGTTTGCAAGGTAACTTTAGAAATTCGCTGTTGGTACATTTCAAATGTTATGCAATCGTAAACAAAGTAGTAATGTTGAAATGAAACTGAAAACGTGCATCACCAATTAGTAATTGCTTTAAGTATATTTTAAACATTATCAAATTTAAATATAGCATTCTGACAAAAAACTTTAAATAAGTGACTAATTTTACTTAATATAAAAATATATTATTATGTCACAACTTTAGTTTTATTCAAATGCTTAATTTTAGCGTATTCAAACTTCTTGCAATAGATCAACTTTTTCCTATTCCAAGGCACCTGCTTTATGTGGCTTGCATTTGTGTGTGCAAGAGTCCATAATTGTGTGAACGGAAGTTGAAAGCTCGACAATTAAGCTGGCCATGGGATTGTAAAGTTTGTCCGTCGCCCAGGTAAAAATAATAATAAAGCGGACTTGGGCAGTCCGAACCACGAGCACTGACTAACATGCCGGTTAGACTAATTGCATTTCTCACTCGGTGGCCCCCAGTTTTCCTTTTCTTTTTTTTTTTTTGTATTACGAGTCAGTTGAGTCAGTGGGGTTGTGGTATCGATTCGGGAGCACTCCCCACAAAGGGCTCTAAAAAAAAAAAGACCAAGTATAGATGTAAGCAAATCTGCCGAATGAGTCAGCCAAGCGAGCCAAACTGATCAGATTTCCAAAAGCACAAGTGCCACGGCGGGCTGTCAACTGGGGCGTAGATTGATACCACTCTGTTGAACAGATTAACGTAGCCAGCGGCAAATATAGTATAGCGCATATAGCATATATAGCTTATAGTAGCAACCGGATCAGCCTTGGGCTGCAATTTGTTCATGCTGCATAGTTTATAGGAGCGCTGGCATCAATTGGCCAGTTTAATGACTTCATGTTGGCCCATTAGTCACTCTGTCTGTGGCGAAATTGCTTTCATTCGACTTGCTGTCCCGCCTGGATACATCATTAGGTTATATAATGCGGATCTGCCAAGGCCAATTATAATGCTTATAGTGACAGTTTATTGTGAGTCAGGGCTAGAAAGAGTCAGCCAGCAAGACCTCAAAAGGGTAGTCATTGATCTTTATTAGCTAATTGAAAAACCACATTCTAAATGTAAATAAATCCTATTTTAATGTTTGATAAGCTAGAACCAAAATAGTCTGAATTGCTTGGGAAAATCTGAATGGTTAGTTTGCTTAAGACAGTAAAGCCATTCAGTATCCTGCCATAAAGTGTGATATTTGTTGCCAGTCCTCTGGCATTTCCCTGAGATAAACTGGCGCGGATCTATTTAATTGTCCGTCAGCGTATCCGTCTCATTTAGATGCACACCAGCATCGTTTAGCACTTGCCGGCTGGAGCGACTGACTGGCTGACTCTGCCTGGCTGACTGACTAACTGAGTGAATGAATGTCGAACACAAACAAACACCGAGTGTCGGTCTCAGCAAGTAGGTTTTTTAAGCACATTATGCATGCATTTGCAGCCTCGTAAGTCTTTTATGGCCGACAACCGACAACCGACATCATTCGCTATTCGCTGCAATTGTTCGCTCTAGAAACCAGTGAGTGAGTGACCCACTTTGGGCCATAAATTAGCACAAACAACAGTAGTAGCAGCAGCAGCCTAGACAGGCAACTTTTATTCAGCTTATTAAATACGTATCTGTACGTAGAGTACGTCTAGTTAGGCTGCAACACTCCGGCTCTCGGACACACGCACTTACAATTCCAGTCTTGTTTTTTTATAGATCATTGTCATGTTTAGCTTTCGGTTTCTCGCCGCTGCAAACCAATTGGGTCAAGCCCGAGAAAAGCGGAGCGAACAAGCCGAAGCCGAGGTGGAAAAAGTAGCCTGAAACCTGCCATTAAAAGACCATTAACTATTGTCCAATATTAAGTTATTTCATAGCACTAAATTAGCCTGTTGCAAAGCCGATTGAAATGTTTGCTCCTCCGAAGCTTCGGTGCTCCGGTGCTCCGGTGCTCCAATGCTCTTTCACACACTTCGGACATAGACAATGTTGTTTAATTGATTGGAGAAAGTTATCGGTTCGAGCGGACCGATGGGAAAATGTCTTCATCGGGTTCGTTTTTTTGGCCAAAGTGCAATGGGCAATCAAGGAAATTGAATATGCACACCGGGTAAAACCAAACAAGTCTACTTTGCTTTGTATGAGCTTCATTTAACTTTGTTGGCTCCAATCAATTTCGAAGCAATCATCATCTGCTTAATTATACATGTTAATTTTCTTTCCAAATCATTAAAATTTCAACTGCAACTTGTAAGACCGTTTATGTTTTTAGGTCAAAGTTAAAAACAGATATGTATGTTGTTCAAGGGTAATATCTTAAAGGTTTAATAACAATGTTTTGCAAACATCTAGAATTATATAAAAGGAAATAGTTAAAACAAATGGGATAAATGTCCCGTGATAACACATAAAAAAATTGAGGAAATGTAAACAAAAAGGTAAACAATAAATCTTCTTAAATAATTTGCATATCCAAATGGAATACATCACTTAAACCTGAATCATATGGTAAATATCTGAAGAACGTGCTGACTTAAAAGAATTCTTAAGATATTGATGATGGGCGAACAACAGATTTAACAATAAGAACCCTAATTAATTCATAAGAATACGATCGTAAGCCAGTGGATTGCGGTTTACTTGGAGTATTATCTCACCCATTCATTCAACCATTGTTATAAAGCGCCCGATTACAAGATCAATTTGATGACATCGTTTCGATCTTTTGTGTTATTCGTTATATTCGTTATTTTTCCCAGGTCGTTGCCATGTGGTTTTTGTATTTGGTTTTCCACGATTTGATATGCACACTTTACATTTCTGTCAGTTTGTCTATTGGTCTTTCTTTATGTGGCTGCGTTTTGAGACCGTTAGCGTTAACAATTTTTAATAGTTTTGCTGCGCTTTGGCTGCAAGTGATGGACGGCAGCCAGCTCAGCAGGCTCGATTTTCCTAGGCGAGTGGAAAAACCCGTTTCCGTTTCCCTGCCGCTCAAATGGTTTCGCTTCGGCCAAACCAAAGTTGTCCGGTGTTCGCTTAATTTATGAAAGTTTAAATGCTGCTGCCTGCAGGCGGCGATTGCATTTCGTGTCGCCTGTAAATCAGAACTACCGCTAGCCATCCAGATCCATCCACATCTCCCCCTGGTTTGGAATCGCTATCCGAATTCGAATCCCAATCCGAATCCGAATCCGAGTCCCGTTCTCATTCCTCTTTCCAAATGCGAGAGTCACCGCGACTGGTTTGAACTTTATAAATATTTATTGTATATATTTGCGGAGCCAAGTCGAGTCGAGTCGATTGGAGCGGAGTGGAGCCATACCTCTACATGTGCCACATCCTGCCGCATGTCTGAGCCAGTGACCTTATTTATTCCACCGCCAAGACAAGGAAAATCCACGCCAGAGAGAGTGCAGCTCTTTTTGCTTTTTGCGCGCCCCGAAAGTAGAACATTTGGCCTGGCGAGACTCCAGGTCGCTCGGCTTCGCTGATGAAATGATCGCGCGTGCCATTAGAAAGTAAACGCCACTAAACGAGGCCTGAATGTTTAATTTGGGTTTGGCTTTTGGGCACTTTGACTTAAACTGCACTCAATTCGGGGTGGGAATGTCTAAGCTGGAAGTGGGTCATACGAAAGGGAAATATTAAATCCGGATTTGAGCTCAAGATTCTAGAACAAGAGCGTTTTGATTCTAGTAACAAGTAAATAAGTTGGTGATTTTGTGCTACAGGTTTATCTACTTCAATGGTAATAAATTATTCCACAAGAAATCCAAAAAAAATATCTTCTTTAACGATGACTATGTAGGGTCTGTAAATTGCGTATGCAAATTAAACCGAAAGGCCTGAGAACAGAATAATAATGATGGGCCTTGTGAATGGAAGAGTTGTGGGAATACTTGTAACCCTTCCATTGTGATTTGTGGTTGGTTTAAGCACAAAGTAATGATCGTGCACATTCACTAAAATTTGTATTCCTCTGCCCATTTCAGATGTTGCAACTGGCGTAGAGTGATCGAGTGCCCAACATGTCGGACAAGGTGAGCACATCCCTGGCAGCCCAACTGCATTCCCATGCCCTGGCCTCGGCGGACGTTGGCGGTGGTGGTGGTGGAGTGAATGGCGGTGCTCCTCTTTGCCATGCCAGCACCGATAAGGACATCCAGGCACCGCTTCAATTTGAAATGGATGCGCCGGCGGCTGCGATCAGTGCGCAATTGAACTTCAAGATCCTGCCCGCCGACAGTTTGCCCGGGCTGAGCTACCAGGACATGTTCGCCTCCATGAACACATCACAAATCTCGAATGCCTCCACGGAGTCCAGCTGCAGTCCGCCAGTTCCGGGCGGAGTGCCGCCTCCGAAGCCCAGTCGCCACATGTCCGTGCAGCCGCTGAATAGCGTAAGTCAAAGGAATTTTACTCCTTTACAAACTGCTTGAAATTCAAGGCTAATCTTCTGTTGCTTCCCTAGAAATCCTGCCGCTTTCCCAAGCTCGAGGAGTGCGCCCACTTCCACTATGAACGTGTCCAGCTGGGTCCGCTATCCGTGCAGCTGTTGGACGATAAATCGGAGCACATGGGCAGCAGCATTGCCTCGCAGTCAATTGGAGGCGACCTGCCACACAGCTCCCTGAGAAGCTTCTCGCCCGAGAGCTGCTGGTTCATCATTCGCGTGTGCCCGCAGCGCTGCGAACCCTTCCTGATCAAGAGGAGCTTCGAGAACATGCAGCTGCTGGACGAGATGCTCCATCGATGCGTCTACGATCGCAAGATCAGCGGACTGCGCAACATGGAGGAACTGGCGGCCGAGCTGCCCAGCGAATCGGATGTGGAGTATGCGGTGTCCAAGTACCTAGAGCGTTTCTCGAAGATCGCCTCCGATTCGCTGACCTGCGGCACCATTCTCACCTGGCTGCAGCTGGACAACAAGGGACGAAGACTCCCGTTGGCAGATGGTGAGACCCAGAGGACCATCAACACGCCGGCCGTGGGTGCCGCCTATGGAGTGAGGCGCTATCAGGCCCAGGCTCCCGACGAGATCAACATCGAGGTGGGCGACATGATATCCGTGATCGATATGCCCAGTCCGGCGGAATCGATTTGGTGGCGTGGCAAGAAGTCGCATCTGCAGAAGTCCCTCTACGAAGTCGGTTTCTTTCCGCAATCCTGTGTGGCCACCATTGGCGACAAGGTGCCCAGGAACTTCCCCATGCCAGCTCCGCTCGTTGGTCACCTGGATGCTTCGCCCACGAAGCCGGTGCTTCGCAAGCACGGCAAGCTAATCGCCTTCTTCCGTTCCTTCATCCTGTCGCGACCTTCGCGTCGTCGCTTGAAACAGAGTGGCATTTACCGTGAACGCGTCTTCAACTGCGATTTGTCCGAGCATCTGCTCAATAGCGGCCAGGACATTCCCATGGTTCTGCGCTCCTGCGCGGAGTTCATCGAGAACTATGGCGTCATCGATGGCATCTACCGGCTGTCGGGCATCACCTCCAACATCCAGCGATTGAGGCGTGCCTTCGACGAGGAGCGAGTGCCGGACTTGGGCAATCCCGAGATGAAGCAGGACATCCATGCGGTCAGCTCGCTGCTGAAGATGTACTTCCGAGAGCTTCCGAACCCGTTGTGCACCTACCAGCTGTACGACAACTTTGTGGAGGCCATCCAGGTGAAGGCCGACGAGGCGGACGAGCGACTGCGGCTCATGAAGGAGACGGTCCTCAAGCTGCCACCTCCTCATTATAGGTGAGATAATAATAGTAATACTCAAAATGGTAATAGAAATGGAGTGTCTTGATTACTTAATACTGAATTAAATGATTAAAAAGTGCTTCATTTTATCTGTTAAGTTATATTTCAAGTATTTACATGCTAAAAATGTTTTTATAATTTACAGAATAATAATGAATAGTAAAAGATACTTTAAATAGTATTAGAAACGTAGTGCGTTGATCAATGATTACTCTATTAAATGATAAGAGACATTTATATTATATTACATATATTATTCATTTGATCTGTTAAATTATATCTGAAGAATTTAATCATTACAAATGGTTTTATCATTATTATCAAAAGTATTTAAATGCAAAAAAATGTTTTTATAATTTACAGAATAATAATGAATAGTAATACTTGAAATATTAGTAGAAACGTAGTGAATAGTCTATTAAATGATAAGAAATTTGTATATTTTTGGTCTGTTAAATTATATCTGAAGAATTTAAACATTACAAATGTTTTTCTTATTTTCAGAACCCTCAAATATCTGGCGGAGCATCTGTACAAGGTGTCGCAGCACCACGAACGCACCGGAATGACGGACAAGAATCTGGCCATTGTGTGGGCGCCGAATCTCCTCCGCTCGCCCGCCCTCGAGTCGGGGGGCGTGGCCGCTCTGCGAGGAGTGGGCGTGCAGGCGGTGGTCACCGAGTACCTGATACGGAATTGCCATAACATCTTCGATGCTCTGGAGGATCACCCGGCGCGTCACAGCATGGTGGCGAGTGCAGTAAGTGCTGCAAATGCCGGCGGAGAACTGCGCCTGGAGTCGCTCACCGATTGCGAGAGTCTGCTGGTGGAGCAGCGGGAGCAGGACCAATCCCTGGGCATCGTGGAGCGGCCGAAGAGCCTGAGCACCGGTGGCGCCAAGCTCATCAGTCTGGAGGAGGCGCAGGAGAGGCACTCGCGAGTGGAGGGCGCCGACCTGAAGCAATCGCTGCCCATCAGCATGTTGACCAGTGCGAGTGGCAATGCGGCCTCCAACATTGGATCCTACATCGAAGTGGGCGGCGGACCATCCAGCCTGCCGGATAAGTACCACACGGTGCTCTCCGCGCCTCGCAGCTGGCAGAAACGGAAGCCGGACAAGACGCCCTCCTGGAAGTCGATATTCACGCGCAGCCAGCGGCAGGGCAACCCCGATCCTGGCCAGAAGATCACAACGGACGTCAAGGATTCGGTGGCTTCGCGCGTGAGCTTTGTGCAGGCCTCGCATGCGCATGCCAGCAAGGAGCTCACCAAGCACGACAAACCCAAATCCATTGAGCTGCTGGAAACGACAAGCAACGAACGCGATCCCAAGCCAATGGACCTGTGCATCCGCTCCAATTCGATCGATAGCCTGCGCACGGTGGGTCACTCGAGGAGCGTTTCGCACGACTCCTACTTTGATCTGCTGCAGTCCCCGCAACGCGGGCACATGACCACCTGCCCGTCGCGGGAGCTCTCCGAACTGGGACTGAACTTCGATCGCGAGGAGCCGGAGATGCGCATCTTCTCGGAGAGCGAATCCCTGGTGAGCTCTCCGCGCGTCGGCAAGGAGAATGTGCCACCTTCCTCCGGCTGTGCCACACGGCGCATAATGCGCGCCCGACCCGAGGAGTTCTCCAGCCAGACGAACAGCGTTAATCCCAGCCCCAAGAAGCAACCGCGTCTCAATCTACTGTCGCCCAGCTCGGCCAGGACCATGCCACCACCGCCTCCTTCAACGGCTGCGGCAGCTGCATCCTCCTCCTCGTCCTCCTGCGGCCATGAATCCGCCGGAGCGGAGAACTGCTGCAAGCGCTACAAGCTGGAGGATCAGTTGTGCGACATCCAGTTCATTGACTGCGGCACTCCGGAAACCGTGCCCACGGCTCACCAGCAGTTCGCCAATGTGGAAGTGCACCCGCCTCCAAAACCAGCAAGGGCAGCCCAATCAGCCCAATCACCCGTTTCCCCGTCGACTGGTGCATCTGGTGGCTCCTCCTCCTCATCCACACGCTACAGTTATCCCTCGGTGCAGCTGGGGGCCAAGCGCAAGGAGCAGCAGGCTGCCAAGGAGCGGTTCAGCTACCAGGGAACCTTTCCGCAGTCGGGATTAAAGCAGGAGCCATCTGCTTCGAGGAGTGTGCAGTGAGTATATATAATTGGCAAATGAATTTCCTGTTTTGAAGGTGATTGATTCAATTGCAGTAACAACAACACCGCTCCTTTGAGAAAACCACGAGTGGAACCTGTCGAAGATGGTCAGATCAAGCTCTCTGTGCCGACGCCCACCACTCCTGCCCACAGTCCTCGTTATTCCTTGCTGTTGTGCGACACCGAGAGCTCCGAAAACAGTTCGGCAGTGAACACGCCGCAGTACGACATGGAGCCCCTGATGCTCACCTCGGCCATGTCCGGTGTGTCCGGAGTGTCTTCCAATATGCAGCAACAGCTGCTCTTGGGTCTGGATGCAGCCAGCAGTTATCTGGGCAGCTCGCACGAGAGTCTGGGACAGCATGTAAGAAATTTGAATATAAAATCCAACCTAAAACTGATCATTCCGTATTTCCAGTTCAACAACCTGCAGGATGCGGAGCACCGTGATATGAATGCTCTGAAACGGGAGCTTTCGCTGGACTTGCAGCCACTGCAACCACGTTTGCCGCAGCCAACGAATCGAGCTGCCACATTGCCGGTGAAGGAGCAACTGCAGGCAGCGGCGGCGGCGGCCATGTTGTCCTCGCCGAACAACTCCAATTTCACGGACCACACTAGTCAGTCGGTGACGCCCAGCGAGTATGGCTACCAGCACCTGCAGCGACAGCCGAGCATGCACTCCTTACTGGCCACCGATGATAGTTCGCCGGTGTACGAGGACTTTGAACAGACCCCCGTCAAGATGGTGGCCACCAGCCCCATCAAATCGACCATTAGCATCACGTACAAATCGCCGGAGAAGGAGAAGAAACCCTCGACTCTGTTGGAGACCAATTTCGATGAGAATATCGTTTATGAGCAGGTTAAGCTGTTCCGCAATTCGGTCACCGAGGTGAATCAAATGCTGCACGAGCGAAGCAGCCTGAAACAGATCGCCGAGGAGGAGCAGCAGCAGGATGGAGGTGCCTTCAAGGCGGCGGAGATGACGCAGCAGCTGCTGCAGCTGGAACAGGATCACCAGGAGCTGCAACAGCAGGAGGCAGAGCCGGAGGACGAGGAGCAGTCGCAGTTGCTGTACGAAAACATCGAGCTGCGAAAACCGAAAACAGTTTACGAGAATCTACGTGGCGAGGAGATGAAGTTCAACATTGAGGAGCCGAAGCCGAGCAGTGACAGAATCGAACTCGATAGTCTAGACAGTTTGCCGGACAACATGGAGCACGAGCAGTCCTCACCGAGCAAGTCGCCTTCGTTCAGCGTAAAGGAGCTGGCGAACAAGTTCGAGGCTTCCCCCGTGGAGCAGCTGCCCAATTTCGATTTCTCGGTGCGCGGCGGCTCCATGAAGAAGCCCAACGAACTGAGCGTGCCCAAGGCGATGCCCGCTCCGGTGCCGCTCAAGAAACTGAACAGCAGTGCCCAAAAGATAACGCGTTCGCTGGACGAGAACGCCTTTGTCCGGGAATTCGGAGGCAAGCAGCTGCAGGACCTCTCTCTGTCAAGCAAGCTGCCCGAGGCGATGTCAGAGGTCAACAGCCGGCGCAAGAGCTTCGACTTCACGCGACCCAAAACCCTGAATCCACCCAAACGCTTGCCGGGCATGAGCATCACCGAGGAGATTTGCCAGAAGCGCGGCGGCGAACCGGAGCCCATTACGCCCACCACAGAGAATCGCATTTCGCTCATTCAACAGAATAATGTGCCCAAGGAGCAGCAGGTGGCAGCCAATCAGTTCCTGCCTCCGGCGGGACGCAAGAGCGTGCTAACCGGCGTGATCCTGGATCGCGAACGCATTGACAAGATCAAGGAGGAGCGTCGTCAGCAGTTGACGCAGAAGTACTACGGCGACACCTTGAAATCTCGCTCGCGAACGGAACTCAATGCGGAGGACAACTTCCAGACAGCGGAATCCCTGCGCATCAAGTCCAAGTCTCGTGGTGATATGCACGCCCTGCAGAAGGACATGGACATGAATCTGAAGCAGTTGAGCCGCGTGACTGGCGGCGGATCGGAGAGCACCCTTCACATGAGCCTGAGCCAGGGCAATGGCCAGGAACAACTGGTGGGCGGTGGACAGCAGCAGCGGGTGCGCCGGATTTCGGACGAGAAAAATCAAAATTGTGATACCAGTAATGGGAGCGTGGGTGGAATGACCGCCACTTCGCTGCTCAGCGTGAAGACGGCGGCCCAGAAATATGGAACTACCAGCAAGGCGCCGGCGAATAAGTTCGAACGTGGCCAGCCGATGCCGCGCGAGCGTCTGCAGCGGAACTCGTTGGCCGAGAGCAATGCGGGCACCAAGTAAGAAAACTATTAGTCCTCCAATGAATCTGCATTAATCACATTTCTATTTACAGCAACAGAGAAAAGATCTCACCACAATTCTCAATACGCGACGTGACAGCGATGTTCGAATCTCGTTCACAAAACCAATAGGCTAAGGCAACATTAGCAACTAATTACATCGAAATAATGAGACCGCTACCTACATATAATCACAATACTGGAGAAGCAGCAGTGTATATATGCCTATACCAGCATATATATTTTATTTAGTTTTTAAACATTCACTTAAGCGCATTGAACTTCTCGAAAGTGTTCTTGATATATCAAGATATAACCGGCGCAAGCGGCTCCAAAGACATTCAGATTTATAACGCCGCGCTTGATTGCAACCACATTTATATTAATCATACTGATGATAATCATAATGACGACGCTTTGCGCCTTGAATCATATGCAAAATTCAATTTTGTTTTGGAAAAGCATAAAGAGAGTTTAACTAAAAGACCATCCTCATCGTACCCCGAAAGTCCCTCGATCCCGAACAGCAAATGCATATTGTTATTGCATTTTAGGCGTTTCTTTACGTAGGTGTTAAGTTTCATTCGTTTAACCTTAAAAAGAAAAAGAATTCTTAAGTTTTGAATTCTATTTTGGTTTGTTTATGCGTGAATTGTGGCTCGAATGTTTTATTTTCTTGTTTATTTCGACTAAATTGTGACGCGCGTGTATCGGAGATGATATTTTTCTTCATTTAAAGCTAATGCATTTGCAACAACTTTGAGCAAGTTGTCCTAAGTTAATTATTATACGATTAATTTATATATATTTTTTAAACCAATAAACTCAATTGCATTGTCACTCAAGTACTCTTTCTTCAACCAATCCTTGTATATACTCTTCGGCTTTGCTTTTAAAAACTGTTGCTTATGGAAACGGAGATTTGTATGCAGTACAACTTAAAAGTCTGTGTACGCGACTTAATCGAAATACCGATTAAAAACTAGACTTCCAGGAAGCTTGATATAAAAGCAGATGTTTTGTCAGAATGTAAGCATTATATGCCTACTTGTCTTTCGTACTATGAAACACAAATATATATTTTCTTTACAAAAACATATTTAAATTGAGTAGTGAAACTAAATAACAAACAATGGTTGTCTATAAATACATAATAATACCTATACACTAACTGGAACCAGTTCGCTATATAAGAAAAAGGAATATTTAATCTATAGAAGGATTCACTAAATTCAGTAAATGGAATGGTTATCTACTATTAAGGGCTAGAACACATGTAACTAAAGTTTATCTTGATGCAATTTTATTTATTTTGTTTGCTTATTTGAATTAGCTTGGAGGATATTGTGATCCTAAAATCTAGACTTACTTGGCTGGAAATCTGCTGAATAAAATTTGCCAAAGGCTGTTCGATATTGACAGGAAAATTCCAATTTACTTTGGTTGAGATACATTTAAATTTTAAAAGATTTTTTTTCACTGACAATTATTAATTTAGTTTTATATAATCTATAAAAAGTGCATCCTTGGAAGTCATTAGGCGCGTACACAGCAAGCATATATTACAATATATACTACAATTATGACCAATAAAAGGCACATCTGATGCATAACTAAATAAAGAATTTTTATGTGTGGCTAGTGCTTAGATTCGACTCGTAGATAAAATTGATACTATAAAAAGAAAGCGTGAGAAAAAATGCAAAATATTTATCCCCCTTTTAAATTACTAAAGAGCAGCTGCCAAATCTTTTATATTTCAAATCAAAATTGTTAAAGGCGACGGACTACAAAACTTTAAAACGAAAGCATAACGGAGATTAACAGAATTGTAATACAATAACTAAATAGAAAGCTTTAAAACATAAGTTAGCATTTGATATATTTTGATAAAAACAAAAGAAACCCACAACATAGTTATAAACAATTGTATTTCATAATGACTGAATAAAAGGCAAAGGAGAAGAAAACCATTTAAGCAACGCTTGTGAAAGTTCAAGTAAAACCATTTATATATGTCATACTTACAAACTGAATACAAACTTATATTTAATAGAGCAAGGATCAATCAACAAATAAAGTGAACGGAATATGAAAAGATTATAAGATGAAACGTCGAGCGATGAGTTCACGATTTGCATTAAAATTTTTGTAAGCCATAACATACGAAATGTTTAAAACAAAAAATACTACTTTAACGCATTTAAATAAAACATGAATATTAAACACATGCAGTTTTGTTGTTTTGCAATTGGTAAACTAACGCTTTAACATGACCGCAGTTTTGTGTTTTTATAATTATGTGGTTTTGTGATTGTGTAACTTAAATTCATCTCTAATTTTCAGTCCAACAATTTTAACTGACAGATTTGGATTCAAAAAATTTTGTTTTATTTACAAGTGTATATTTTATGAGCGCTTTCTTTTCACAGCTTTTGTTCAACCAACTGATTGTAATTTAAATAAAGCCAGAACATTCCTGCTGATCTTTTCTTCCAATCCCTGGCTAATATTAATTCTTCTCTCAAAGAATGGGCGTTGTACCCCCCAAAGAGAGAGCATAAGTCCATAATTTTATTAGCTTTCTGCATTGTCCTTTGCATTCATTTTGGAACCTGCTGGGCGGCGGCAAAAAAGAGCACGTGAGAAAATTAATTTGATTAAATTGCCATGGAGATGCGCAGCAGGTCAGAAGTGTGGCAGGAGGAGGGGCGCAGCGATATAGAATGTCTTATCGCAGAATCGCTTGTTTTTAGCCCGGCTACTTAGCGCGGATGTCGAGCCACCACCAAAGGACACAAAGCACATCCTTCAATGCGGGCTCACAGCGGTGAACGCACTAAATGATGTGCATAAGTGCGAAAACGTTTTGCACATGGAATGCCTCCTCGCCTCTGATGTTTTGCCTCTTATATTCCTTTCGTTTTTTTTTTTTTTTTTGCCTGCCTGTCTGTTTGGGTTGATTGACGCTGATAGGGCACGTGCTGGCAATTATTTTAGAATAAACATAACAAGCCTCTCCACGGGGCCAAATCATCAGATGACTTCTCCTCTTCAGCTTCTCGCTCTTGGGCACGGTCAAAAAATGTTTTCTTTCACAAAAACGCAGGCAGATTAGAACAGGCGATAGTAAATTATTTCAATTGATAATGGTAGCCTGAATAAAATATTCAAATATTCAAACTTTTTCCTGATAAGGTTTTTAAATAGTACTCCTTATTATTTTCACAAATACTTGTTAAATAAATAAATTTATTCGACACCTAGATATTATAAACAAAATGGTATAATGAGAAACATGAAACGGTCAAAGTCCATTAATCTCGTTAGTTCATTTTAATTTTAATGCATTATAGTAATCTCATAATTATAGGTTCCAAAGCGGGTAAAATATCGAAATCAGTGAGTTAGGATCATTAGAACACCCACTATTTTCATCCTCTAGGGTATTCGAATTCCCAGCCGCTTCAACTTGGTGCTTTTAATAATGCTTGGGTTTTGGGGCGGTCGGCTGCTTATTAAAAGTCTCTTGTTGTGATCCTAGGCACAGTAACCTTTTCGTCCTGCCCCTCCTTTCCGTCCTGAAATTAGTCCGCCCTAACAATTAGAGCACTAACAAATGCAATTATCCAGGCACCTCCCTCCACTTGGGCACCACTTCGTCACCCCTTGCGGCACACAATTGCTCTCATTGGGAACAATTGTAGATGAACCCGGCGACCGGAGTCACAAGTCCTTCGCAAGTCCTTTTCCCAGCCAACAAACAACGAAAATTCAAAGGCAAAAAAAAAAAAAAATACTGAAAGTACGTGCAGAGTAGCAAATGCCGAGATAGCAGAGTGAAAACAGCCAAGGAAAAAGTTTCCCGAACGCGTGCCACATATTAAATTACATCGAAATATGTGCACACGATGATTTGTCGAAGGGCAGCTTGTAATTTGCTGGCATTTTTCGATTTTATCAGCATCAATGTTATTTTGATACAGTTGTTAAATTCTACGGCCGTGTAGTGTGCTATTTAATTGAATTTATCTCGCGCAATTATAGTGAATTTACTGAACAGTCAAGTCGTATAAAACGGGGGATTGTTCAGACCCGAGATTTCCGGATACGACATTTATGGTGGGCGTAACTTAACAATTTGAACATATTTCTTATTTAAATGCAGCCGAATAGCCATTTTATTGGAATTTAAGGGAGAGTTGTTTTATGGTTATATTGAATAGGCAACTTAACAATGCTTAATTGGGGTTTTTAAACTAGAGTCTTTTAGTAAAGATTTTGATTGGTTACGTTACAAAGAAATTAGTCCACCTTAATTCTTTTCAGAAGTTTTTTATTTAGAAAATATAAAACATTTATTCATTTTATTTATTATTTAGTATAATCTATGTACCTTATTGATTAAGGATATATTTTTTATTGAATCGGTGGATTTCTCTAACAAAAAGGACCCATGTAAAGGAAGTGCCACTCGCTGAGGATGTAGCCACTTGAGCCTGTGCTCTGAGTCGTGCTCCCAATTACAAAGGACCCGCAAGGATGTTCAAGTTTGTGTTGCTTGTAGCAGAAGTTAATTTACCGAGAATCAAACTTAAATGCGGAAAAAGGATCTGAGACGATGTGCCGCCGACATTCACCCCCTATTTTGAAGACAATCACGACCTTATGGCTTATGTAACCTGATCGGTGACACACTTCAGCTTTGATTTCAGGGAATTATGCTAACGCAAAACAAAAAAAAAACGAACAAGGAGACGTCGATGTCGACAATACAAAAGGATTTGCCCAGTAAACTGACACAAAATGTTGTAATTGCCCCAAGGAAGCGCACCCTCCAGCAGACTCAACCGCAAAGTGGCTGGCAATTCGATGCCTCAAGTTCGGTAGCATTTTTATTATTATAAAAATTTGGCTTAGCCCGAATGACGGGACACGTGCAACAATGGAAATTAGGCGAACTAAATGATGGCTTACAAATATGATCAGCTTTCAGATTTGGCCATGGGAATCGCTTTTCGCAGATCCGTTTACCTCGAACTAAGGGAAAATCAATAAACATCGCACCGTAGACAACGCATGCAGCCTTAAAAAAGAGGAATTTATACAGGGTTTTCTCCATCGTCCTTTGGCACGTTCATGTCAGAGGGTTAACAAAGGATGACAACGCAGTGAAGTCCGTTCGCATGGAGCCATGGAGGTGGAGCAGCAAGTTAAGTGCTTTCAGCCAGGTGAGATGAGCTAAGGAGTGTTCATCTCTTTTGCTGAAAGCGCCAGCTGACAGGTCCTTTTGTATTTTACCAGGTCATTTATGATACAGCATCTATTGAGTTGTGCCAAATTTCTCAGATCGATATTATGTTGAATAGCTAAAAAAAAATTAACAGAGTTATTAATATTTCGTATGCATATTTAAAAGCAGAAAAAAATACATTCAGAAACATAAAATTTGTATGTTAAAAGTTTTTTTATATAATAAACATTTTATTTTATAAAATAGATACCACTATAGATAACTATTTAGTATATAACATCTTTTTTTATTTTTAAGGATTTTCTTTAATTTAAATTTGTTTTTAAATAAGTATATAAATTTGTATTTGCACCTCTTATCTCACCTTATTTTGCTTGCATGACTTGCATGTTCTTACTTAATTGTAGCAAACCCATAATATTAAAACCCACTTACCAGTAATTAAGTCTCGAAAAACATAAATGATTTAAGGTCCTTAGAGCAGCAGAGACATCCTGACTCCGGGGGCTGCACATCCAGCTCCCCGGCTCCACATCCTCTCCAGCGATCGCTCGAATGCCAACCTAATGCGCCCGTTTTAGGGCTTTAACCTAATAATGACGTTCGACTTAGTTTGCGTGACTTATTTTATTAATAAAACGAGCAAATTTGTCTTGCTTTTTGGTCGCATCCTCGTCAGGCTCTTTCTCTCTCAGTGATGTCCCGTTATTCTCCTTCCTTCCTGCTCTCTCCTTTAAGGATTCACCACCCCACCGATGATGTGACCTCTCCTCGAGAAAACAGGACGAATATACTGGCGAAAGTCACCCCTTGGCGAGCTCTTCGCTGATTGGTGGCTGGTTCTTAAAGGACACACGCCTCCTTTTTTTCGGGGGTGGCAATGGGTGGGTGTGGGGCGTCCTTGTGGGTGGTGTACGACTATGTGGAGCTCTGATTAAATTAAACGCAACGGGACAAAAAATATGTATCAATGCGAGCGGGCGAATATGCCGCCCCCAAAATGCCCCCCAACCCCCAAGGTACAGTTGCGTTGGCTCCACCTAGCAATTATCCTGTCGCAGCAGAATCGATTGTTTAATTCAATTATAATAATTGTGGCATTTAATGCATGCACATCATCAGCCAGACAGACAACAATGGCGGCCGTGACACGTTAATTATTACAGGAGGGGCGCCAAAAGGCGGGATTCGATGGGGATGAGAATGGGGATGGCGATTGGAATGGGTCACACAAAATGGCGTCGGCGGAAGGACGCCGGGAATAGTTGTGCAAATTATTTATGCGGCTAACTGGGGTCAATTAAGCTGGGCTTTTTCGGGCAAAGGATATGGCGGGGCTAATCGGATGTCCAGCGGATGCCAGCAGAGAAACCTTTTGGGAGGTAGTGGGGGTGGTGGGGGGTGGCTAAAATCCATAGAGAGAGCAGGACAACCGTATGCGCATGCAAATCCATGGGGGTGTGTTCACTGATGCGGGGGATTCCCCCGAATTGCCGCTCTAAACGGGCACCGCAAAGCGGCAGCCAACTGCAACTGGATCGTTGAAGGGGGTTGGAGAACGGGGTTCCTGTGTCCGCTTTTCCTCCTTTCTTTTTTTTTTTTTGTATTTTTCGCAGCATGCAGGACTCTATTGCCGGCTCGCTCGCACATGTCTGCGCTGGCAGCTCGTTTAGAGCAATTTGCTGGTTGATGTGCGGTGATTGCCGCAAACTCAACGCGACCGTCAACGAGCAAACAACATAAGCGCGCGCGGCCCAAGGACACGGCACATATATCGTAACACACTCACACACACATAGATATATATATATATATATATATATATCCTGGGACATTACGACTCCGCACTCGTTCCATCGCAATGGCAATGCTTAATGAGGCCAGCTTGAGTCCTGCGGACGCCCATGCTCATGCGAATGCCACCACGCCCACGCACAGCAAGGCGGCGATGGCCAGTGCCACCACAATGCTGACCACAAAAACACCGTTCTCCATCGAACATATATTGTTTCAAAATTTAAACAGTGCCAGCAGCAATAATGCCAACAATATAACCGCTAATAGCAATAATTATGTGCAAAAAAATGGCAGCAGCAAAAATGCGGTGAAAAGTGCCAGGAGCAGTTTTGCCCACGACAATAATCCACACAAGCAGCCGTCGCAAAGTTCGCATTCGTCGGAACATTCGCATCCGCCGGCATCCGCATCCGCATCCGCGACGGCAACCATTCGCGGTAGTCAAACAGCGACGGGATATGCCAGCGAGGACTACGCCAAGTCCTTGCACAACTCCCAACGGTTAGTTTCAAAAAACTATAAGTGTTTTGTGGACAGATTGAACATAAACCAAATTCCGTTAAAGTTAAGAATAACCAACTAAAAATCTCCGAAAATTATCAATGTAGTGCAATAACTAAAAAAGGACAAATCCAAAATGTTAACATAAAAAACAAACCATAAAAATTAAATTGTGAAGAATTATTTCAGGGGATTTGATAGAGTTTATGATTTAATTAAATTCGGATTAACAAATATTTTAAGGAAAAAGAGAATTCAGAAATTAGACATTTCATCATCAAATCAATTGCTTCAAATAGTTAAACTCTGATATAACTTAGAAAACTCTTTTCATCATATACTTTCAGGTCGAACCACCACTCTCGTCCTGGAGGTTCCCATTATAGCTCAGATCAAACGTCTCAGCAATTAGGATCCGCGGCAGGACAACATCCACCAGCTCCTGCTCCTCAGCCACCGCCTCCGCCGCCATTAAATGGAGGAACTGGTGGATCCAATGGAGTGCTATACCCAAATGCCCCTTACACCGATCACGGATTTCTTCAAATGACCCTCGGCTATTTATCACCATCGTCAGGAACTTATAAGTCAGTGGATCCCTATTTCTTATCACAAGGTGGGTAATTCAAGGGAATCATTCTATAAACTATATTTATCAATAAGGAACACATGGCGTATGAGTGATATATATTTATTTCTTAAAACAACAAGTTTGTAGTTTTGAGGATGCTTGCAAACACGTTTTTCGTATGAGTTTTTGGTTTGATTTTTTATTTTCTAGACTTCTGCAAGTGGTGGTCAAATTTGTTAGGTTCCTTTTGCCAGAACTGCATGGTTGGTGTAAATAGCCATCAACACCGAAAGTTTCAATTTTTGTCAACTTTAACTAAGTTAACTAATTTGGGCATTTGACCTTTCAGCCAGCCTTTTCGGGGGGCACCCTTTTTCGGGGCGCCTGGATGCGTTCCGGAATTGGCCCTCGGATTGGGAATGGGCGTGAATGCCCTGCGTCACTGCCGCCGGAGGAAGGCCCGTACGGTGTTCAGTGATCCACAACTGTCCGGCCTGGAAAAGCGATTCGAGGGGCAGCGATACCTTTCGACGCCGGAGCGAGTTGAATTGGCCACCGCATTGGGACTCAGCGAAACGCAGGTGAAGACCTGGTTCCAAAACCGACGCATGAAGCACAAAAAACAGCTGCGCCGACGTGATAATACCAATGGTGAGTGTTAACATAATTAAAATATATATTTCATACTAAAGAAAGTGGAACTCGCTTAGATAGCATGAAATCTTAACAAAACTAGAACACTTAAATCAGCTTTTATGTTGAGTCACGAAATACAATTGGATATATCTTATATTTCAGTGATATTTTTTTATTCGAATGTCAAACGTTTGTTCTAAAATTGTAATAATTTAAATAAGTAATAAAACCAAGACAACTTAAATATAAGTTGTCTGCGGTTTGCAAATGCTTTACAAACCTTAAAATCCTAGTCCACTTGGAAATAGTTAAACAGACAAGGGAGTATGAGTAGTTTCTTTGTGAAACTTTTGGACATTCAATTAGACCTTTTGGCTTTTAGCCTGCCTCCTTGAGTTGCAGAAAGTTTTCTTCAAGTTTCTCCGCAAATTAAATTAGCTCTAAATTTTGTGCAAATTTCTTTGACTCTTCCATGCCGCAGAGCCCGTTGACTTCTCACGCAGCGAGCTGGGCAAGCAGCCGGGTGAGGCCACCTCGTCCTCCGGGGACTCCAAGCACGGCAAACTGAATCCCGGATCCGTGAGCACGCCCACTCAGCCCACAAGTGAGCAGCAGCAGCTGCAGATGTGCCTCATGCAACAGGGATACTCCACGGACGACTACTCCGATCTGGAGGCGGATAGTGCGGATGAGGATAATTCCAGCGACGTGGACATCGTCGGCGATGCGAAACTCTATCAGTTAACATAGATAGTTTGAAATCCGAATCTGGATCAAAATTAATTGTAGTTTTCGGTATTTTAGTTGAGGAAATACAACCTATGAATAATTCTTTAAAACCAAGTGGCAATTTTAATACTCTAAACTCATTTCTTAAGTTTTTATTATGTTTATGTTTAAATATCTAAATTATTTTTAACCACAAACCAGCAATGATATTTATTTTGGTTTTTAGATAAGAAAAAAGCCGTTTGTTGGAAAATTACACATTTTACTTGTTATCAATTGCTTTACCACAATTTTGTGCTTACCTACATAATATATTATTTATCAGCGCCAATATGGTTTATTTAATCATATCTAAATGCTTACCATTTCCAATTGAATGATAGTTCGTTTAACATTATCTACTTTTACCCCTTAATTGCAGAAGCCTTTTAAAAAGCAAATACAAAATGTACACAAAATTGTAGTTGTATTTCCCTCAATTTTAAAATATTAAAAAAATGACGGTGTAAATACAAACAAGTTCTTGAACGAGCTTCATTCTAGTCATGTATTGAATCTTAAATCTAATCAAACTTAGTGATTGTATTCGAGAACTTCCATTTTAAGATATTTTAGTTCCCTACCCGCTCGACTTCTTATCCAGAACATAGTGCTTACAATAAACAGAAAAGAGCAGAATTATGTGAGTAACCGAAAACATTCCTCCTTCCTTGCTGGGCAATCAAATCCAATTGACAACATAAAGTAGCTACTAATATGGTTAAGCATCAGGCATTTCAGCATGGGGTTGGCCAACTGCCACGCCCTGCGCATGTCCAAGTGCCCAAGTGGATGGGCGGAATCGGAAGAGATTGAAATGGATTGAAATGGGGTGGATATCGATGGAAACGCACTCAACAATGGAAAAATAATTGCGGGTTTTCAGACAGCCATTTTAGTCAGACACCCGATGTCAAGTGTGGGCGGTAAATGTTAAATGTTTCAAATTGATTGGTAATTATGGGTTAATAGGAATGCTCTGCTTGGTCGTCTTTGTCAACGTACTGCGAAAAGAAATCAAATTAAACTTTTAATAATTATTCTGATGCTAAAAAAAACCATACAAGAAATTTAACATATGCTTCGGTAAGTATTATACTTTCAAATAAAAATAGACCTTTAAAGCTTATGGGACTGATTAATATTTATTCTAAACATTTCCTTTTATATAATGTATTTTTAATCAAACATATAAATATTTAAAATATATATTCCAGAATGTGAAATCGTTTCTTGACGTCAAGGAAGCAAAGTGCAAATCTCTTCAAATCTATTCTATTTTAGTGATTAAAATTGTAAGTACAAACTTATAGACATTTATTTTAGTTATTTGTAAGCGTGCTTTGTTTTATGTTGAAATTGGTAGACACACTCTAATCGGACGCAAATTAACAAAAAGAAACCGAAAGATTGCTGTGAAATGAAATACTATCTGAGGTCGAAGCAATGACAAGGCGCAGACGCCTTAGCCTCTGGCATTTTCCAAACGAATACATACTTTAATAAGTTAGTAGTGCTTAAAGGCTTATCTTGTTGTTGATAAGGCTAAAACGAAAATAAATTACGGGAGGCGAGCCTCCAATGATTAGAATGGGTTGGTAATAAAAATCACAATTGCCACTTAGTTCCTTTAGCCAATTTATGGTTTGATTTGTGGGCTTATTTCGTTGTAAATAATAATAATAAAATGTCACTTCAATAATGGTCTAATATATATTTCAAGAAGATACTTCCACTTAATAACAATTTTTAATGAAGCAATTTATTCCTTAAGCATTAATATATCTCATTAGGGACGACAAAGTTGGTATGCTCCCCAAATGCTCCACTCTCTTTATTTTTTGACTCCCTCTTATTTTTTTTCAAGCCATATGTCTGCAGTTTATGCTCCCCATCCGCACTCTTTTTTCACTCCAACGCGCTCTTCTATATATTTTTCCTGTATGTATTTTATTTACATGCTATCAGTTGGCGATGCCGTCGAAAACAAAACAAAATATTAGGATTAGTGTTTGTTCTTCGACTTTCCTATACCCTAATATTTTAAAAGGTAAAATAATAAAAGGCTGAGCATGAATCTAAAATTTTCTACAAGTTCAAAACATAATATATTCCATTTGATTTTTCTTAATTTGTACATTTATTTGAAAGCATTGATATAAAATGCTGATGGTAAGTAGTATTGGTTATACTTCACAATCAAATTGTTTGTTATAGTTTTATAATAGTTATCTTGCTTAAACATTTGATTACTAGGGTATATCCCCAACCCGATTGACTAAGCATATATACCTTCTGAGAGGGCGTGGCAAGCAGTGACGTCTCGCTTCGCTTTTTTCCGCTGTCGTCGTGGCCGTGGACTGAAGCCAACAGGCAGTCTCTTCAGTTCAGCCGTCGACTGCGGTTCGTTGTCTTGTTTGCCAGTCTTCCCCGTTTTGTTGTAAGTGAAAGTGCATTTCGGTCTCTTCTGCTCTGCGAAGCTCCACAAATGTTGGGGGTCACAGTGGTGTTAAGGACAAGTCTGAAAGTCATTTAGATCTCGTCGATATAGATGAATGGAAGAGATCTATATATATTTGCCCATAGATACAGTGTTTACTTATACTCTTTTCGTTGGTATATATACTCAGCTAATCGGCCAGTTGGAGACGTTCCAAAAATAAATAAGGGGGCACGTGTCGGTGTATTTAAACGACCGGCAGAAATATTATTTTGCCGTTCCGGTTCTCTAACGTTTTCCATGATACACTTGTATGTTTTTGTAGAACAAACAGGTTATCAGCTAGTCAAAAAAAAAAAAAAAAACAACAACCAAACACCAAAGCCACACAAACAAACAACCATGCACACTCAGAGTGACAAGTTTTTGATAGTGATTTTTTATGCAACAAGCCCCCGAAAAAACAGAGACAGAGAATTTAGAGGGTCATTGTATTGACCTTCCTAGGAAATAGCAGACCCTTTACTCTACTTAACTGGTAATTGTTTTTATTTTGATGGATCCCCACAGGAACCGCATCCTATAACCAACAATGGCGGCCAGTAACGGTGCTTGTAAGTGAAGTTGCTTCCTGCTTTTTGCTCCTTGAATGTTGCCCGACTCCTTTCTGGTTTTTTTTTTTAACCAGTTCGCTTTATTTTATACCCGCCTGCATTTCCATTTATTAGCAGTTCCCCAAAACTTGTTCCTTAGATCCGAGATTTTAATAACCTGTTGCTGCGCTGAAAATTATATCGACTTAATTGTGCAAATTCCTGCTGTTTTTAATCCTTGTGAAATCCCCTCCAAATCCTTTCCATTAGAAATTTATTTTGTTCTTATATTTGTTTTATTTAACCAACTATAGATTTGATTGGCTATTAGTTACCATACATAGCAATAATATGTGTGTCACTAATTCTTTTAAAAAAATTCTTTAGAATATCATTATAATATTTAATTTAAATTTTTTGTTTAGCCAAAATGAGTCAACAGGGACCAGCTTTTGACTCCAATGCGATGACGCTAACGCGTTTCGTGTTGCAGGAGCAGCGTAAGTTCAAAGGTGCCACTGGCGATCTGTCCCAGCTGCTCAACTGCATCCAAACTGCCATCAAAGCAACTGCCTCGGCTGTCCGAAAGGCAGGAATCGCCAAGCTCCATGGAATCGCCGGGGACGTAAATGTCCAGGGTGAGGAAGTCAAGAAACTGGACGTCCTCTCAAACGAGCTGTTCATCAACATGCTCAAATCCTCCTACACCACATGTCTCATGGTTTCCGAGGAGAACGAGAAAGTGATCGAGGTGGAAGTGGAGAGACAGGTATGTCTACGTATGGCATATAAATTTATTTAACATATTCAACAAGTATGAAGGTTTTAATTAAAACGATCAGATTGATATGAAATTTGGTATGCAGGTGTTAATTAGCAAAGCAGAGATTTTTTCTTCAGTTGCGATATCTCTATCTTTAAAGTTAAATAAGGCATAGCATATAAAGATTGCTTTTGAGATTTATACAATCTAGTTCTTCAATAGAATAATGCTTATCAGTAGTACAACATATATAAATAAAATTCTCCTAACTGTTTTCAGGGAAAATACATTGTGTGCTTTGATCCTCTGGACGGATCCTCCAACATAGACTGTCTGGTGTCGATCGGATCGATCTTCGCCATTTACCGCAAGAAGAGCGATGGACCACCCACCGTGGAGGATGCCCTCCAGCCTGGAAACCAGTTGGTTGCTGCAGGATATGCCCTCTACGGTTCAGCCACTGCCATTGTCCTTGGTCTGGGATCCGGAGTTAATGGTTTCACTTATGATCCGGCGATCGGAGAGTTCATCCTGACCGATCCCAATATGCGAGTGCCCGAGAAGGGAAAGATCTACTCGATCAACGAGGGATATGCCAGCGATTGGGAGGCGGGTGTCTTTAACTATGTTGCAGCCAAAAAGGATCCCTCTAAGGGAAAGCCCTATGGAGCACGTTATGTTGGTTCCATGGTGGCCGATGTCCACCGCACCATCAAATACGGAGGAATCTTCCTGTACCCGGCCACAAAGTCAGCTCCCAATGGAAAACTTCGCCTGCTCTACGAGTGCAATCCAATGGCCTATCTGATGATTCAGGCTGGTGGACTGGCCAGCGATGGAAAGATCAGCATTTTGGACATTGTGCCCAAGAACATTCACGAACGCAGTCCCATTTTCCTGGGTTCCAAGGCCGATGTGGAAGAAGTGCTTAGTTACTTGAAGTGATTTTTGTAATATCCGTAATTTATAAATAAAGGAGATCTTATTTTTTACTATATAATCATGTCCCTCCAAGAATACACCTAAATTAAATTGTCTAATGATCATTGCTGCTAAAAGCAGGCTCAAGTACTAATATCACTTCCCGGATTACTATCTTAATGTATTATGAATTGGCCCAGTAACATAAGTTACCAGGCCTTTGTAAAAATTAGTTTAGACTCATTAGAGTGTTCCTCTCCACGGAAATCTTTAGTAAAAGGCGAAAGATTTATTCGACAATTGAAGAGAAACCAGAGTGAATTCATCCATCCAGCTCTATGCCTATATCTTTATTCTAAGCAAGAACTGCTTGGGAATTATAGGAGAGACAGAAGAAAATTATTGAATGGTGGTGGTTTTATTACAGTTAGCTACCTGAAAAGGGTACAATATACCTAGATCCGTAGGGAGTTCTAAGGTTTAAATTTGACACAAATGTTGTTTAACTTGAAAAAAGAAATCAATAACAAGTTCGGTCTTGGTTAATTTATTATGAAATTTTATTTAGCAACGCTGTTTTCTTTATAAGTCATGTTTTCGCAAACAATTTTGTCTTATACCTTTTAAAAACATTCACGATGAGGACTTTTTCTCTGATAGTTGCTTTGGTTTTCTTATCAACAACTCAAGCCGCCTTTTTCTGCAGTGAGATCCCGGTGCCGGGATGCATCTCTGCCCAGTCCAGTAGCGTTACCGAGACCTCACCTAGCGAGTAAAACTGCAAATAATAAAGTTGAAAAATCACTCCTAAAAGCATACTGCCCGCACTCTCGTGTTTCTTACTTTTAAATACACCAACCAGTTGTGAGGTTCTAGTTCGGCCTTTATGAAGCCCTCTGCCTTGAGTTTGGAAGAATTATCGCTTCCCGGCCTTATGGCTAAGATCATAGTAGTTTTTGCTGACGCCGCAAATTGTGACTTCTATCTCTATGGGCAGAGTTTATCTGCCTTTTTTGGTTGCAGTTGAATGAGTTGATTGCTTTGCAACAGAACTTTTGATGTCTAACTCGGCTTTCCAAATTGACCAACTTAGCCAAAAAGGTATGTTAACAGGCCGGATGAAAAGTCCCCGGTCTGACCCATACTAGATTTTACTAGATTTTTTTCCATATGATTTTCATTCAGTACCAACCTTCAAACGATACGTGTCAAAATTTGACAGCAATCGGACAATTAGTTCGGGAGTTATATCGATTTGAGTGAAGCTACTTTTGTTATTGTTGAAAAGATGGAAAAAAAAAGAATTTCGTGTGTTAATAAAGTATTGCTTTTTGAAAGGAAAAAATACAGTTGAAGCCAAAGTGTGGCTTGATAAAGAGTTTCCGGGGTCTGCACCAGGAAAATCAACCATCATTGATTGGTATGCTAAGTTTAAACGTGGTGAAATGAGCACTGAAGACGGTGAACGCAGTGGACGCCCAAAAGAGGCTGTTACCGACGAAAACATCAAAAAAATCCATAGAATGATTTTGAATGACCGTAAAATGAAGTTGAGCGAGATAGCAGACATTGTAAAGATATCAAAGGAACGTGTACATCATATCATTCGCGAATATTTGGGCATGCGAAAGCTCTGTGCAAAGTGGGTGCCGCGCGAGCTCACAATCGATCAAAAACAACAACGAGTTGATGATTCGGAGCAGTGTTTGGAGATGTTTAAGCGCAATAAAGCCGAATTTTTCCGTCGATATGTGACAATGGATGAAACATGGCTCCATCACTACACTCCAGAGTCCAATCGTCAATCATCTGAATGGACAGCAAGCGACGAACCCAATCCAAAGCGTGGAAAAACGCAACAGTCGGCTGGAAAGGTTATGGCGTCTGTTTTTTGGGATGCGCATGGAATAATATTCATCGACTATCTCCAGAAGGGACAGACAATCAACAGCGACTATTACATTGCTTTATTGGAGCGGTTGAAAGCCGAAATCGCAAAGAAACGGCCGCATTTGAAGAGGAAAAAAGTGCTGTTCCACCAAGACAATGCACCATGTCACAAGTCTGGAAAAACGATGGCTAAAATTTATGAATTGGGCTACGAATTGCTTCCTCATCCACCGTATTCTCCAGATCTGGCCCCCAGCGACTATTTCCTGTTTGCGGACCTTAAAAGAATGCTCGCTGGCAAGAAATTTAAGACCGATGATGAAGTGATAGCTGAAACTGAGGCCTATTTTGAGGATAAACCGAAAGAGTACTACAAAAGTGGCATCGAAAAGTTGGAAAATCGCTATAATCGCTGTATCGCCCTCGAAGGCAACTATGTTGAATAATAAAATTGAATTTTGCAAAAAAAAATTTTTTACTATGGTAAACCGGGGACTTTTCATCCGGCCCGTTAAGTATAGTCTTCGATGGTTGGCAAAAAAAAAAGATTTTCCACAGACCACAATTCAAGTAGAATTTTAAAAAATTCTAAACTTGGCAGATTGCATTTGTGATCAAGTTCTAGGGTTTAAATTTGACACCCGTGTTGTGTAACCCGAGATAAGGAAACAATAAAAAGTTCGGTCTTGGTTAATTTATTGTGAAATTCTATTTAGCGACGCTGTTTTCTATATAAGTCATGTTTTCGCAAACAATTTTGTCATAAACATTTTAAAAACATTCACGATGAGGACTTTTTCTCTGATAGTAGCTTTGGCTTTCATATCAACAGCTCAAGCTCATATTGACTGCGCTTTTGTCTTGGGCTGTTCTGGAGATGGAAAGGGGGGATGCGCATACAGGGATGGTCGTCCTTGTTAACAAGTGATGGTAACCCAGAGTTTGCATAGTGATTAAAAATGCAAATAATAAAATTCAGGTATCACTCCTAAAAGTATACTGCCCGGTCTCTCGTGTTTCTTATTTTTAAATACACCAATTCCCAACTGGTTCTAGCTCGGCCTTTATGAAGTCCTCTTTCTTTGGTTTGAGGGGTTATCGCTTCTCGGCCTTATGGCTAAGATCAAAGTGTAGTATCTGTTCTTATCAGCTTAACATCTGATAGTTCCTCCATTGGAGGACAACAAATGTTAAACTGATTTTTGAAATCAGACGGAGTGCTAGGGGCTTGCTCCACATCTGTCGCGGGTTGGCCCGGTATTGCAGTACCGCCGGGTTTTCGGCCCAACTAATAAATAAATTTACAGCATAGTAGAAATATTATTCCCGACATAATGTAAGATGTTACAGCCTTTGATCATCGAATCTTTAGGGGTCACTACTAGGTATATTAGATATTTTAAAACTATACAAAGTGCACAGTTCTTTGATTCTTCTCTCGCTGTTTAAAATTTAAATATAAAGGGCAATGGAAAAATGCATTGATAAGTGAAGTGGAGATTTAACAACACAAATTTAATCATAAACAAGATATTCTACAATATGTTGTGTACTCTAAGAACGATATCGAACATACATGTTTATGTACATTAGGATCTTAAAAGGCGTTCGCTTTGTGCTTGGGCACAAAGGTGAATCCATCTGGGACGCGTCCCAGCAGCGATTCGCTGAGCTTCACCCAGTCAGCGGCGTTTCCGGAACTCATAAGCGTTTCCATTTCATCGCGCCCCCGGTATTTCTGCGGACGAGCGTTGATCTTTTGCGGCGGAGCCTCCTGAAGGGCCTCGGGTATGTAGCGGTACAGAAACGACTGCCACTCGAGGAGGAAGCGGCGTGTGGTCTCCACACCCTTGGTGTCCGATCCCCAGTGTTCCAGTCCGTAGTTGCAGAACTTTTGCAACATCTCGTAGCGTTGGTTAGATAAAGGAGACCACGCCTGTTTCTCTTTGATTTCTTGGAAGATCCAAGGCTTAATCAATGCGCCACGCCCAATCATCACGGAGCTAACGTGCGGCGCCAGCGTTCTTCGCTCCACATAATCCTCGTAGCTGAGTATATCTCCATTGCCGATCACCGGCATATTTTTGGCCTTGGCGGCACATTCCTCGATGTAATTCCAATTGGCGTGTTTGGTGTACCGCTGTTCCCTGGATCTTCCGTGAAGAGTCACTGCCGAGGCGCCCCATTCCTCAACGAGCGGCAGGAGTTCGTGGGCCACACTCTTATCTGCATAAATACCAGTCCGCATTTTCACGGTGAAGGGCAGGCGATCCGACAAAGCAGCACAGCTGCGCACCGTCAGCTCCAAGATATTTGTTCGTCGCATCAAAGCACTGCCTCCACCCTGCTGGTAAATCAGATCTATGGGGCAGCCAATATTAAGATCAATGTAGTCCACCTGCGCCGTTTCATGAATAACCTGCGCCGCCTGGTTAAGCATATTTGGATTGTTTCCGCACAGCTGAACTCCAAAGACGTCCTCGCTCTTGTGACGCTTGGTCAAGGCCCACTCCTGTCCCATGCCCTTCAGCAAGGGTTGGGCACAGGCCATCTCGCCACATGTGATATCTGCTCCGAACTCCTTGCAAATCCTTCGGAAGGGCAGGTTGCCCAAGGTGGTCAACGGGGACAGGACGAGCTTTTCGCGAAAATCAACTGCTGGTTTTTTTTCAGCATCTCTGCCGATAGGGGAATCATCAACTGCACACCCAGTTGGTGTTTCCTGTTCCTTGGAGTCTACTGGTGGCTCCTTCCCGTGTTTATCGCTGTTTTCACTAACTGCAGATTGGTTTTCTTCGGCGGCTGATAGCTTTTCCTTGTCGTCTTTTTCCTTTTGTTCCTTTTGCTTGCGCGCATCTCGCAGGTTCTCTGCTAATTTGATCAGCTGCTTGCTCCGACTAAAATCATACTCATGTTTACGCAGGCGCACTTGGAGTTCTAAGAAGGGTATAATATTATAGTAAAGGCGTTTTGATTAAGCAAACTGCAACCTACCAGAACTGACTCCGTTGAATGTGGTCGGAGGAGCATTTTCGTCGTAGTCCTCTCGTTTGATATTCCTGCCGTTTTCATCCGTGTGGGCTTTGGCGAACCGACAACTAACCCCACGGGCACAATATCCCTTGGTGCTGAACACATAGCATTCGGGCCCCAAATCCTCTCCTTTGGCGGCCAGGAAGGCATTCAAATCGTGAACATAGCGGCAATTGGCCAGGGAACATGGTTCTCCACCGGTTCCATCAATCAACGAGTGACACAGATGCGAATACCGCTCGTCTTTAAAAACTGGTCGATTCTGTTGGTATCAAAGTAAATGTGTTAAAATGGCGTTTAGGAAAGATTTATATTTTAATGACAAGCCTTGTTTTGTCCACGCTTGCGTTCCTTCTTATCCCACTTCTTTTTTCCGCCGGTTTCGAGTTCGTGACCATCATCGCGCTTTCTTTTGTTGGTCTCGCTGTTTTCGGTGGTTATTGCTTCACTGTTGCCATTGCCTTCAGTTACCAGATATCTGATATGTTTAAATAATAGTTTAAATTTCTAATTTATTGCTGAATTAGAGTACTTACTCTGGTTTTATATAGCAAATACCCGCTTCCATTTCAACAACAAACAGTCGCACGTGTTGATCTGCGTCTTCTTCTTCCTTGTTTATGTCTGTCAGCTGAGTAATATCGATAATTTCAAAGTCACTGGGCGCGTTCCCCGCGAAATCGTGATACAAATATAATTTTCGAGGTAAATTTTACTCACAAAATTTATATAAGGATACGTTAGCACAATGAAAAAACATTTTTAAAAAATTAAAAACTTTTTTTAAATAAATTAATTCATTAATGCGAAGTTTTCTCCACATTTGTAAAAAGTCACTGTTAAATGGAATGCTCATCACTGTTGTATAATGCTGCTGGTGAGATGGTGCAGCTGTTTTTTTTGCATGTGATGTGCCGATTATTGCAGTCGTCTGGTTGCGGATTATTGCAAATACGGTCACTCAGATCCGAATTTGTACTACAAATTGCATCTTTAATTGTTAATAACAAAAAAACGGTGCAAAAGTTTCACTCTCCTCCAAAGGATTTCGAAGTTTTAGAAAAAAACACATCGTTTCCATATTTTACTTTATTTTTTAAGCTGTATTTATCGTGCACCGCACTTGTAAACAATTACCAAAAATAAATTGTCTATAGTTTTTAATATACCAAATTCAACAAGATAAGTAAATACCAAACTGCCGGCTTGGCGCGCATTTCTTGGTCATACCAAATATAAATATCCGCTTGTAAACAAAACAATTGGTCATGGAATCCATTTGCTCCACTTTGGAGCTGCAGTTTCCCTGTCGGGAGGCGGCAATTGGCACCCTGGGTGGGCTTATTGGCGACTCCAAAGAGCCTTACCCTGCGGCTATTTACTTGTTCGGCCACAGTGGAACCGGCAAAACCGCTTTGACCAAAGCTTTCCTTAGGGAGTGCAACAAAAGACAGAATGTCAGGATTTCCCATTTAAATGCCATCGAATGCTACACCACCAAGATCATGTTAGAGATCTTGCTGGATTCCCTGGCACCGGAAGAAGTGGACTCTCTCAAGGCGGACAATATGCTGGATATTGTGGAGCAACTGCGTCGATGGCACAATGTTTCAGGGGTCGGTTCCCAGAGTTTCCTTATTGCTGTCGATAATGCGGAACGCCTGCGGGATATGGATGCCAATGTTCTACCAGTACTCCTTCGATTGCAACAGCTGACCAGCTTGAATCTATGCGTCATTCTTTTGTCGCAGCTTCCCTTCGAAAAGTTTTACAACAAGACAGGATTGAGTGAAGTTATTGGACTGCATTTGGCACAGTACAACAAGGCTGAAACACAGCGTATTCTGGGATCGGATTTCGCCCAGGTGCGCACTCAACTACTGGAGCAGTATGCCCAGGATAATAAGCGCCTGGAGATTTGCAGGGAAGCCATCACGGAGGAATTCTACAATAACTATCTGAATCTCTTTTTAAGCGTGTTCTACAAAGCTTGTCGAGATGTTCCTGAGCTCCAGTTGACGGCTAGGAAATGCATGGACATTTACCTAGAGCCCGTTTTGGATGGCAGTGTGGAGGCCACGGATATCTCCCGACTTTGGCGACATATAGCTGGACCTTTGCGCTCAGCCCTCACACAGATTTATATGCGAATAGAAAAACCGCCAGAGGAGAGTTACGATTTTACCGCTTTGGAGGATCAGAGCGTTCGCAAGATGGCGCAGTCGTTGGAGCTTCCATACTATGCAAAATACCTCCTGATTGCCGCATTTCTAGCCAGTCACAATGCAGCCAACCAGGACAAGCGGTTGTTTGTGAAACATCATGGAAAGCAGCGGAAACGGATGCAGACGGTCAACGCCAGAGCAAAGGTTGGTTATTAATTATAGCACAAATAAAGCCTATAATTTTCATACCTTCTACATTTATTTCCATTTTAGACTACGGAAAAAATGTCTACCACTTTGGGACCCAAATCCTTTAGCATCGACCGCTTGCTAGCCATTTTTTACGCTATTCTTGAGGAGAAAGTAGGCTTGACCTGCAATCTCCTCTCTCAGATCTCAACCCTGGTGCACCTTAAGCTCCTAAGCTTCGTTTCCGGCGAGCAGAATATTATGGATGGCTCTGCACGGCTGCAATGCACCATTGGTCTTGAGTTTGTATTGCAGATTGGAAAGGTTGTGGGCTTTAATGTCCGCCAGTACCTCTGCGATTTTATGTAGTCCGTTTTGTTTTTTCAGTTTTTAAATATATTCAATAAATAGTCCGGTACATCGCTTATGTGTATGGTCTCCGCCAGTCTGGTGTCCCGGCTGCGCAACTGCATCAGTCCATTTTTAAGGGTTTGCTCGTTTAAGACTAATGTATAAGGTACGCCCAGCATATCCGATTCCAGCAAGTGATCTTTTAGCTGTGATGTGTTTTTGGCTGAAGCAAATCCAGTGCCTTCACGGAGTCGCAGACCAGCAAGATGTATAACGTGCTTCAGGTGCAAGCATAGATCGGCCAGGTCACCCGATAACTCGGATTCGCCTTCCACACAGGCGATTCCACATTGGTATGGTGCTAAAACGCGGTGAAGCAACAGGGATTGCGCATCTCGACCATGATCGCAGCCATCCAGGAGCAGAGCTAAAAGAAATCGTTATGTATACAATTTATAGTTAAACATTTTATATGAAAACATTTTTTACCACAAGTGGCCGTTTCCAGCTCAATCACAGAACGTATAACAGTTGGTTGTATAAATTCACCCGTTCGCGCATCGGACAGACGATAGCCATTATCTTCCACAATCCGCACCAGACTCAATTCTTCTACTGTAACATCACCTGCTTCGCCGTAGCTTGATTTGATATCGATGGCTTGATAGTTTTTAGGATTGTACTCCTCCCCCAAATCGCAAGGGACAATGCGGTAGCGACTGGGATTCGAGGATAGTCGCATCCACCAGATTTTACTCTCGCGTTGCATGTTGTAGAAATGTTCTAGAGCGCGATGTGGTTCCACCAGAAAGTCTGTGGTTAACAAAGTTGCAGGAGACTTTACCCCGAAGAGGGGATTGACTTTTGGGGAGGAACTTAAGCTCTGGTGCTTGATAAGAGTGGGGCATTTAGCTTTGCGGGGATGATCTTTGATGAGTTTTTGAAAGTTGTTACCGAATTGCTGGCTTTCGGGGAAGGAAAAACGGTGCAGGTTGGAAGGAGAAATGGTTTGGATGGAGTCATCTAGATGAGCAGCCAAGGGTCGCAGACGTAGCCAGTGCTGTTGGAGCAGCTTAGCATATTCTTTCCCGTGGCAAAGTAATTCTAATATGTTGTCATCATGGGAGCGAAAAAAACCAGCGGACTCCAGGGACTTGAAACATCGCTGTATCCGGCTCATTGCTCAAGCGGAATGTTGCCCGGCGGCGAGACGAAGTAGTCCTCGTCCGTTACCTTGGCGTTTCGGAGCACCTCCGTCCGGCTATCGCCCTCGGTCACCTGGTCGTTGCGTAACTGGAGTTGCTGATGCTCCAGAACAGTGTAAAGTGGACGGACGTGTTCCGTGTCGATATGGGCTATCTTGTCCGCGAACTGGATGCTGCTTTTTAACGTGGCGAGTGCACGATCACTATCCAAATCGACCAGGGACAACCGCTCCAGTAACTGAATGGTCTTCGTGTCGATCTCGATTTCCGGAGAGCTGGTGTCGGGAAATGCCGTTTCCACAGGAGTCTGTGGCACCTTGGTTGGATGCGTCAGCTGCTTGAAGTCCAATTTAGTGGACTTTTCATTTGCCTTTGTTGCAATTTTGCAATATAAACGTTTACTTAACTGGCGCAACATTCTTAAAGCCGAAACACTAGTGATGCAAAAAGCAGCTAGGTGGATTTGAAAGTAAGCTATATATTTACAAATTTTTCATCAGTTTTTTTTATTGTTTGCTAGTAATTCTTAATAACTTAAGGTAAAGATGCTCGTTAGATGTTTTGCTAAAAATGGCTTTGGAAATTTTTCCTTTTTTTTTTAAGAGTTCCCTGAGGCGTAAACATTATTAAAAAAAAGTGGCAAGAAATATTTAAGGCGGCTAGAAACCTGGTATTTGCCAGCACTAGCGACGAACAGAAATCGAAATCGTATGTATTATCGCCGGCTGTTATCGTTACAGTGCCATCATTGGCTAGACTATTTTCCTTAGTTTTTCCGCTTTTTTCTGTGTTTTGTCTTTTATTTAAACCAAAACAAAACAAAGCCGCGATGCCGTACGCAAACCAACCGTCCGTGCAAATAACAGAGCTTACCGACGACAACGTAAAGTTTGTCCTGGAGGATACGGAACTTAGCGTGGCCAACAGCCTGCGCCGTGTGTTCATCGCAGAGACGCCGACTTTGGCCATTGACTGGGTACAATTGGAGGCAAACTCGACAGTGCTTTCAGATGAGTTCCTTGCCCACCGCATCGGCCTCATCCCACTTATCTCCGACGACGTGGTCGAGCGGTTGCAGTACACCCGTGACTGCATCTGCCTTGACTTTTGTCCCGAGTGCAGCGTAGAGTTCACCCTGGATGTGAAGTGCAGCGAGGAGCAGACGCGGCACGTAACCACCGCCGATCTGAAATCAAGTAACGCCAAGGTCCTTCCCGTGACCTCACGCAACCAGGGCGAGGAGGACAACGAGTACGGCGAAAGCAATGATGAGATCCTGATTATCAAGCTGCGCAAGGGCCAGGAACTAAAGTTGCGCGCCTACGCCAAAAAGGGGTTCGGTAAGGAGCACGCCAAGTGGAATCCTACGGCGGGTGTGTGCTTCGAATACGATCCGGACAACTCTATGCGGCATACACTTTACCCAAAACCCGATGAATGGCCCAAAAGCGAGCACACCGAGCTGGAGGACGATCAGTACGAGGCGCCGTATAACTGGGAGGCCAAACCAAACAAGTTCTTCTTCAACGTTGAATCCTCCGGAGCCCTAAAGCCGGAGAACATCGTGGTCATGGGAGTCCAAGTGCTGAAAAACAAGTTGTCCAACCTGCAAACGCAGCTCAGCCACGAATCCCAGAACGATGCTCTGGCCGTTTGATTTATAACAATTTATTTTTAGTTTATAAAAGATCCTCCGTCTAATCCTTGAACAAACTGTCTATGTTGATTCCCACGCCGGCATCTTTTTTCGCCTTGGGAGGACCTGGTGAAGTTGCAGACTTCGTCTGTTGGGTGCCAACTGCTTCCTTAAAGTCGCTCAAAAGTTGGCTCTTGGATTCGGGATCCAGATCGGGAAGTGATTCCTCAGATGTAGTGGACTCTAGTCGGGATTGTTGACGCTGCTCGGCCAGGAGATCCAGAGCAGTCTCGTAGATCCTCTGTTCATCAAGTGCTCCCTGGGCCTTCAGATCCTGGTAGATTTGCACAAATTGCTGCGACTGCGTGCTGCGCTTGTGGTCAAACAGGGATATCGTTTCCTGGGGCTTGTTCTGCTTGTGGAGTTTCCTGTAAATATTATATTTAAGTCATTGTAAAAATTGGGGGTATATTATTGACATACGCTCGCACCACATCCTCGGCATAAAATATTTTGCGAATGGGAATCTCGGGAGCAGGTCTGTCGAATCGTGGTTCTAGTTTCGGTGGAAAGGCGGCGTAAACATCATACCAAATGGGTTTATCTTCAGTTTTCATGGCCCCACCGCGCAACAGACCCTGAACTCTGTAAAAATCAAGAGTTTATTTTCCATAATGGTACTTTAAAGATATTCGCTTACCTGGTGAAGATGGTGCCAATCTTTTCAAGCCTACTCTGAGCCATTTTAATAAAGTTTTAATTGATTAATTCAGTAATTATAACAAAATACGATTACGACATGCGTTTTACGCTTATCGATGAACAGCCGGTGGACAATCGATAATTTCAGAGTTGTCGAATGGAATGTAACGGAATTATTTCCTATAAGAACATAAGTAAGGATCTTAATTGCGTATAAGAGTTTGATTTTGTTATTTTTGATGGAATTTTGAAAAGTTCATCTTTAATTTTTTAAATCAATCAGAAAGAGATGCCACATTGATTAAATACTTTCATTGTTTACCTTTTGAATATGCACTGTTTATATGACTAGCCAATCTGAGCTTCCAACCAACAACTTTCTAGGTGGAAGAACAAGTTTCGGGGAAACCTGGATTTTTTAGTGGGAACTTATGGAGGTTAGAGCCTTTGGGGGGAAAGCCAATTCACCATCTGACAACACTGATTCCAGCAGAGAAGAGTAGAAAAAAATGCTCGACTCAAATTGTCGCACATTTCTGTTGGATTGCTAGTAAATTTTCGCGATTTCGTCTTTAAATTAAAGCGCTACAATCGGAAGAAGATTACGAAAAAATCCAAAAGAACTTACTGACAAACAAAAAGAAAATAAGAGATGAAAAATGTCATGTTGTGGTGTACTTTAATATCGTAAACCGAAGTGTTTTGATTGTTTGTGCAGGTGCAAAATCGATCTAGTGAACTGAAAACTGCGACTCCAAATCGGCCGAGTTAGCGCATTATTGCCCCGATTGTTGTTATTGGAAAATGTTGTTCGTTTGGGAAAATTGTGCCATCGCTCTTTTGTAGTGTGCGTGTGCCGTGTGTGTTTGTGTGCCAGTAAATTAAGTTAATTAAAAACTTAGCTAACTCTCGATTTTGCCGCCCCCGCCATGAGCAACTATCATCCGCACTCGCATCCGCACGCGCTCTCGCATCCGCATCCGCAGCAGGTTCAAAATCAGCTCCAAAATCCCCTGCAAAACCAGTTGCCGCCCCCGCAGCGCCATAACCATGCCACGCCCACCATTGCCTCCGCCTCCGGAGCATCATCATCATCAGCATCCACATCCATCCTGGTGGCCCATCCTCCCCAGCCGCTCATCAGCAATTCACTGGCCATCCGCCAGGAGATCCAGCGATTCGAAAGTGTCCATCCATCGATCTATGCCATATACGATCTGATCGATCTGTTGCCATTGGCCGATGCCCAGATCGCCCAGTCCATTCGAGATCATGTGGTGTGCATTGAAGGTGAGTTCGAGATCTAGTTTTAAGAATTATCAAGAGTGGGATAACCCATTTTAAAGATTTAAAATACACCTTTATTAATCTTTAAAACAAACACTTTTTTATGAAATTCGAATACTTTCTCGTCCACCTGTCAACGAATTTCATATATAGGTCCCCTTGTCGAAAAAATTCCACCTGTTAAGTAGTGTTTAAAAAATTAAATAAATAAGGTTGTTACAATAGTTGAACATTTCAACCAACTGTTGCTTACAGTTATAATACATCTTTAAGATTCATTTGTACCATTTGTGTGGCGCCGATCTTATTATTTTTAACACAGCTGTACAAATGTTACTAACAAACTTAAAAAGTCATTTGCCATCATAAAATACTCTAGTTTGAGCGGACTTTTGGTTGGAATTTGTTGGGAATTCTTTCACATTCAGCTGTTTGCAATAAACTTCGCTATGTACTTATTTGCCATAATAATAAAATTCTGTTATTCTGTACTATTCCTCTATCTTGAAATAGAATTTCGCCTTCAGAAATTATTTTTAACTTAATTTTGTACCAAACAATTCGTTGCCAAAATTATGTATACACACAGAAATTGATTTTTATGTCAGGAAATGGTATCCCTCTGGCATGACTCCACAAGAGTCATGTCTGAACTTATTGAATGCCATCACAGGAACGGATGGAAATCCTTTGATTAAACATGTTTATCGCCGCAATTGTATCCACACCTTCATTGTTGTTTGTTATCGCAAGCGTCTGGACTTGTGGTTGCCTTTGTTCCGAGTGCTTCATGCTAATCTCTGACCAAAAATCTATGAGGCAACACATCAACCCCCGTGCGAGGCGGATTATTGTTGCCGAAATGTCCATTCAAGCGAACCGGGGCCATTGAAAGTGTTGTCGTTTTGTCCCTCTTCGCAAAAGAAAGAGCTTCGCTTTTTGTTTAAAACAAGCTTTTCTGCCCAATTTCCAGCGTGTGTGTTTGTGTGTGTGGTGTACATAAATGCGGGGCCTGAAATTTGATGCCCTCTTCCTCGGTTGTGGCAGCCACCAAAACTAAAAACCGTTCACGAAATCAAAACGAAAACCGGTTCCTGAAATGGTTTATTAGAAAATCTCTTGTTGAGCAGCAGTGGCAGCAACAACAAAAGGCTCACCAAAAATGTAAACAAAATTGTCAGAGGCCTCTGCCTTCTCGAACATCAGAATACTCCACTTCGTTCCGTGCAAACCAGATATGAAACCCGAGAATACGATCTCGTAAACCGTTTTGCACGCGACTTTCTTATTGGCATTGACCCGCAACACGAACACGATCTTTCGGCTATATAGTATAAAGTACGAGTATCTGACTATACCGAATACCGATTCTAATTCGCTGTCAACGTGATGAATGATATTTTCGTTGGACTCCTATTGCCGTTTTTCCCGTTCTAAATGCTTATTTATAGGTTTCGGTAACGGTGCCCATTAAATTGAGAAGGTCAAAAGCATCTATGTAGCTTGGAGATGAACAAAAATAAATAAAAGAAATTGAGAACTTGTTCGTTAACCCTTTCCGTTTAATGTTGCTTTAATAGGCTGAACGTATATATGGAATATCGGGTCAAAAAATGTTATCGTTGTTGGGCAAGATACTAAAGGATTTAATAATAATGACTCATTGTTATCATATGAAGCTTAAAAGCACTGTAAAATGATCGTAAAGTCAATGAACTTTTTTCGCAAATCAAAATAAATGTATAATTTACAGCTTTTCATAATACGTTAAGGGATTCTCGGCAGTCGATTATTTATTTTATGGATTAGTAATAAAATACAAAACGAAATTCTGAATTAAGTCTTCTCATACATGTTAAGAAGAGGGTTAAGGCCTAGATATTTTTAGACGAATTTCAGCAACAATAGCTGCTTTGTGTAATCTTTTGACTATTGTGTGTGGCTACATATGCCATCTAAAATTAGCATATGAAGCTATTAAATTGGGATTTATAAACAATAGACAGATTGTGCATTAAGATTCTTTTACACTCTTCATTCGTCTTCGACAGAACATAAATAGTAAATCGATTACACGATATCAGCATATCAATGGCAATATTCCTACAAATTGATAATTGTTTGGCGGGGTGTTCAATAGCCGGTGGACATAAATAACCTACCTGGAATGCGCGTTCGTTTGTTCGCGGTGTTTATACAAATACAAAGGCGTGTTGTCTGTTTGTTTGTTTGTAAATAGCCAAGTAATAGTCGGCCCTAGATACAACAACAACAACAAAAGTCAACTGAAATGCCGCTGGCGGTAGTGAAAAACAAATTTCCGCTCTTATCTCAAATGGCTTGCGACTCACCATTAAAGCGATTGCAATTAGCCCCAAACGAATTTTTTTTTGTTGGTCTACCCTTTTGTTAGGTGGGTCCATTCATTTCTTTTCGAGCTGACTTAACTTAGAATTTTGCGATTGTAGTATAAATTATTTAATGATTACCAAAGTACTTTACGAAATTTATGGGAACTTTTAGCTTACAGCTTTTCTCTACCGTTTACGACCCAGTTTCTATTAGCTTATAATGCTTCTTTTCTTGATTCTTACCCATTTTCTAATTGAGTTTTAATTACTTTTTAACGTGCAATACTCTTGGCATTATTCAAGTTTTAATTTACTTTTCTTTTGTGTTACTATTTATAGATTTTTTTTTCGCTTTTAGCCATTAGATTCCTTATCTTTTTATGGCAATTAATTGAGGTGATTTTGTCAATAAACGCATTAGTTGCTACTTTTCCGGATTCAACAATTGTTTGCTACCATACAGATACCATTGGTTTTTATTTGCTATAAACTTCGTTATCATATTTGGCACAATTCCCTCCAACTGATAAGAGTGCAGGTTATTCAAAACTTTGGTACCTACCCTCCTATTTAAAATTGAACAATCTCATCTCAACTTGTGACCTCTTATCTGTCGGTGGCTTAGCTTTCTGTCTTTATTGCCGTCTCGCCTTAGGGCAACGTTTGTTTATTTATTTTTAATTGTAAAATAATATTGACGGGCAGACTTTTGAGGGAACCGTTTGCCACTGTCATTCGCATATCACTTTTGTTGTTGTTGTATTTTTGAGCTGCTGTTTGATATGGCTTTTTGTCTGTGCCATTCGGAAGTGGAAATTGTTGTTGTGCGTCGATACGCTCGAGAGCGTGACATGGAGATGCCATTGGGGCCACAAATACATGTATTAACGCACACAAACATGCTTCCAATGCACTGGTAAAAATTTAAGAAACATTTTGATACTACTTTCTCTTTAAAAAATAATAACTACCGTATGTTATGTTAAAATACCTACCAATGAAATGGATAACATCATTAACTGAACTTAACGCTTATAAATACAGTCGAACTTATTATTATAAATATCATGTACTTATACCTGTAAAACTATTCTCAAAGAATTTTCCAATGATAAAAAATGCACCAAAATTGTTGAATAAATTGGATTTTAAAATAAATTTCTTGTAGTGCACAAGAGCGGATTTTCAAATATCAGCGACACATGTGCAACCGGCGGAGTTGAAGGCATGCGTGTCCGCTGTCTGCCGCCCCCCTCCACATTGCCACACCCCTGTTCGTCTCCCTTTTTCCCATGAAGTACCCGTTTATTTTTAAAGCAAATTGCATTAAAAATATCTTGCACTTTGCTTGCAATTCCTATTTCAGTTTGAATTGCACAACACCTTATTGTTGTTATTATTTTGGCTAAATGATTTTCGTTCTTGAGTGACAGAAAAAAGTTAAACAAAAGGAATGCGAAATCGGAAGAGCTTCAGCGTTTTTGCAATTAAGTCATAATACTCGTATGTCCAAATTTGGTTGTCGTTTCGAATGATTCATAAAATCGTGATGGGTGTATATGAATTTATCATTTCATTAAAGCCGGCTGAATTGTAATACAGATGGCTGCAAAGCCAATAAATCGTTTTAAATTAAAATCACTGGATAGGTTGTGGAATTTCAAATATCTTTAAAATATGAATACGTCTGTTGTAAACTTAACCCGCCTACAGTTTTGATTTACACCTTAAATGTACCTTTAGTAATCTTTGATGTCTGCGGAATACCGTTAAAGTGTGATATTTCCGCTATTTCCAGCACTATAAGACGCACTCCAAAAATACAAAATTTTAATTTGGAAATATAAATGTGTTGATTCAGCTTGGTGTGGGCTTGTCAATACTTTTTGACTACGTTGCTGGCATAATTATTATGCGAAATAAGACATAGCATTTGATCGATTCACGAGTGGGTTTATTGAGATTTACGACTGGTCAGCGTTTGATAATTCATTGCTAACGACTCTGCCACTGAGCTTGGTTATTTTCCAGAAGTAATCAGCCACATCGGTCACGAACTTGGCAGATATATCCTTTAGTTTTTGACCGGTAAGTATCTGCTTGTATTGCAAGTCGGTGAGACCAGTTTCAGCTTCCCGGTTAATCAGTAATGGAGAGGCACTGAACTGAAAGGATAAATGGGGACACATTTTTATAATTTATAGATACAAACTAGGAGGGATTTTTTACCTCGTCAAAAATCTCCATCCACTTTTTATTTTTCTCGTCCATGTCCGTTTCTTCAATGGCAGCGTTCAACCGAGTTATGTAAAGATTGATATGCTGAGAACGCTTCGTCTGGGGATTCAAAGCAGCTTTCACTTCGGTGAAATAGGCGATCTGAGAACGAAACAGGGAATTTAGGAGATTGATAGTCTCCGCCTTTGCCTGCCGTTCCAGTTCCTTTTGCAATGGCACCCCGGATTCGGGCAATCGAAGATTGGTGGGACTGGCTGCCGCTATTAAAAACTGAAGAACAAATAACAAGGTTAATTGGAAGATAACACTGCATTTTTAGCTTAGCTCACCTGAGCCAGCAAAAGTAAAGGACAATATTTCAGCAGCATTTTTTGAGATAATCGCCTTTAAGCCTCCGTACTCAATGAGTGTTATTTATAAACTAATTGCTGAAAATAAAAGGCATGCTTTGATTAGCAATGGGATGTTCGAATCTCTCAGGAAACTGATAAGCTGCCTGGGGTTTCTCATGCCAATCATCTAGCAGCGTTCTCCGATCCGCAGATGAATAAAATTATTTTCAAACCGATTTGAGAGCTCTTCTTCCGTTTAATTGCGTTTCAGCTAAAGTATTTGCGGCACGTTTTCGGAAACGGAGAGCATATTGGCAATTCATCTTTCTTTTTCAGTCAAGGCCTGTCTAGCTGCCTAGGTGGTATGTCACTCGGGTGATTTTATTATTATCAGCACTTTAAGAAACATTGGTATAACCTTGGCAAGGGTAATGAATACTTAAGAAATGAATGAATCTTTAAATTTGGTGTTAATCTGCTCGAGGTAGGTTTATATTTTTAGAACTTTCAGCACACAAAAACAATATCTTACTTTCAAGTTTCATCACTTTCTTAATTTGAATACATATAAATAAAATCAGAAACTCTTACAAATTTCAAAATTTACATGCCTAACTTTACATTTTAAATTCTTTTTAAAATGCCTTAACATTCATACAACCACTGAAAAGTATGCAATGAAAGTTAACAGTTAATACCTAATAAACTCACCCTTGCAAGGGTGGACAAGGCCTTGTCTGAGGCAATATAATTTTGTACAGTTATTTTGTTATTCAGCCAAAAAATATGCCATGCCTTGAAAGAAATATTTGAAAAAACTGTTATTAAATAATATATTGTCCAGCATTTTCTGGACAAATAATAATTAAAGCTGAAGTAGTCAAAAAAATAACTTAATTGTGTGTCGTACACTTAAGAGCGCCACATGGACAATTGGATCATAATATGTCCCAATTTAGTTGACGTTTCGAATGATTCATAAAATCATGATGGGAATAAAAAAAAACGAGTGATTTATTGAGATTTACGAACTAGTTAAAGTTTGATAATTTATTGCTAATTTGCCAATTCTGCCACTGAGTTTGATAATTTTCCAAAAATAATCAGTCACATCGATCACGAAATTTGCGGATGTGTAATGAAGTTTTAGAGGGTAAGTAGCTTCCTGTGCTGCGAGTTGATGGGGTCGAAATTTGGTAAACTAAAAGGGGGAAATACAAGAACTATTTTTATTATTCATAGATACAAATTAAGAAAAATTTTTTTACGTGTCCAAAAATTTTTTATGTTTTGCCATATAATCCTTCTCATCAATGGCAGCGGTAATTCCATTTATAATTCGATTAATTTCCTGGTAACTCTTCGACTGAGGATCCAAACCGGCTTTCATTTCGTTAAAAGAGTCGATCTCGGAACGAAAATAGTCATTTAGTCCATTGTTAACCTTCTCCATAGCCTGCTGTTTTTCGTTAGGATTAAACGGACTGGCTGCCCCTAATAAAAGCTGAAGAACATAGAAGATAAGGTTTATCGGATGATTATGCCGCTTGCTTCATCTCACCTGAGCCAACAAAAGTAAAAGACAATATTTCAGTAACATTTTTGTAAATGATCGCTTCTACGCCTCCGTACTCAATGAGTGTAAAATTTTAACTAATTGCTGAACATAAAAGCCATGCTGTGATTAGCACTGGAATGTTTGATTCTCTCAGGGAATTGATAAGCTCTACTCTTTCTCTTCTAGAGTTCATCTTTTTGCCTAATCCCTTAAGCAGCTTTCACTTGATGATTTTATTATTATCAGCACAAAACATTGAAAAAACCTTGCCAAGGGTATAACATATAAAATAATTGAAACTAAAAATTTGTTTATAAACTATGTACTTATATTATATTATTTTTTACTTATATTCTTAGCACGCGGTCCTAGCCTAATTTAACAACTAATGCTCACCGGAAAATGCTCAAAAAAATTTAAAATCGAAACATTTCCAAATTTTTAAAATTTTCAAATGCCTTATTCAAGTTTAAGAATTTTTTAACATTACTTAACTTATTTATTACAACCCCTAAAAAGTGTGCAATGAAATGATAATATTGACTCCTTAATAAACTTACCTAAATTAATATAATTTTAATAGATATTTGTTGATCAGCCAAAAAGTATGCCATATTTTGAGAGAAACATTTGAAAAACCTAAGAAGATCTGGACTAACCCGAAACATGGATTTAGCCACCTTTTTACACCAGTTAAAAAAAATCAAAGCTGAAGTAGTTGCTAAAATAAAAATCTAACTAAACCTAGACTTAAGCGACTTAATGTTCTTGCAAAAAAGGCTAAATTTGGTGGTCGTAAACAATTGAAAGTTAATAAACCCGAAAACCTAGTTGTGTTAATCAATTTTAGCAAAGGAAATGCTATTATAAGCCTAATCTGAGTGATTAGATTAAGCAAATAGCCTGGTGTTTTTGCGTGTTTTTCAGCTGCCGGTCAGCCGACGAATAAAACGAACACCCATGGTTTATGGCTCCCACGTGTTTACCCACCGAAAATGGAGTGTAATACTAAGGGTTAATATAGGTTAACCAACCAAAATTTTAAGCACCGCAAAATTGAATGCAATATTTATGTTGGGAAAATACAAAACACTTTATTGTTTCCCCACCGAAAATTAAAAGCAATAACTAAGTTGAGATACTGGTGACTTTATTGTGTGTTGTTAGTTGCCTCCCGTGATAATAGCAATAATATCACTCAGAGTACGATCTCCAATGAGATCGTTGCAAATGGGAGTGGCCTGTTCGGAGACCCAGGACGCGACAAAATCGGTGTTGTCGTTGATTGTCAGGGTGACGAACTCCTCGATGACCTCGTTCAACTTACGGTTGAAAATGCGGTACTTGGAGAGGTTCTCGATCTGCGAGTTGACATTGCCCACCGAGGGATAAATAAGGATGTCCTTCACGCGAAGGTTTCCGGATAACACGCCCAGTGAGTAGCTGACCCTTCCACGGATGTTTAGGTTTTCAAGGGCAAAGAAGGCTCCACCGTCGCGCTTGAATCGATAGCCGCTGCCCATATCCAGATCGTAATCGGTGGTCACGTTCACGCTTCCGAAATTAAACTCAAATTCACAACGACTCCTGATCAGGTCCATTTTCAGGGTAATGACTTCGTATTGATCGAGACCCTGCAGCTCAAAGCCCTCGACTCCGATGGTACCACTGAATTCTCCCGAACTGAATTCAAACGACCTTTCATTAAGCTTCATGGGGGCCATCACGGGAACTCCGTACTTGGGGCTTCCATTTTGCAGGACTCCTCTAAACGCTTCCACTCCCTCCAGAATCACGCTAGAGAAAGAACGGTCCTGAGCTGTAAAACGTACAGGATTATTAATTGTTTAAGGATTCCTTTTATTTAATGCTTACCTGCCAAAGGTTCGGCGACTTCGGCACCTTGGCAGCTGCTCAGGGCCAAGATAAGTGCAATCAGAAATACAGACTTCATTTTTATTCAAGCAGGACACACTAGTTAACCCTTTCAGCAAACAAACTTCACTAGTCGAAGGCTAAGAAAGCCATTCCTCTTATATAGGAAAATGTCCATTCAGATAAACTATCTCTACACGAAGAAAAATTTTAGGTTCTAACCGAAGAAATTGGTTAAAGTAGCTCAAAAATAAATGATATATTTATGTATAAAAAACAATGATTTTTAAAATATGAAAATTACCTTTTGCAATATTGAAATTAAAAAACTTTTATGAAGTTTATAATAATTGAAAACTATTGTCATTTGCTTTGATTTGGAAAAAAGATATCTGGGCATTCCTGGGATTTAAAATTAATAACTCTCTTGTATGTTTTGCCGCTCACATTTTCTTTGGGCTTTATATTATAAAAACTGATTTGTTGTTTACACACATCAAATATTTTACTACAACGCTGGGATCGATATACTTATGGATTAAAAAGTATCTTATTATTTTGTCTATTCTGTAAGTTGTAGCAAACATTTATTTTCCGTGTTTGCATTGAAGTACCTTCATTAATCGGCAAATAATTTGGCAAAGTGTTTTATTGCAGATAAGACACGAATTGAGATTAGGCCGCCTTTGAAATACGACAATAGGTGATAGGTATTGTAAATGTTTAGCTACTTAAAAGTTATTTTAGTACTAGTACTACTATTATGAAAACAGAAAACCCAGTTGGAAAACCCCCGCAAACAAAAAAGACGAAGTGAGGCGTACTTGATTCAAAACGGTTGTTTAATCACCGAAGGTTCAATTACCACTCCAACTCGGGAGGAATGCAGACCTCCTTCTCACCGCCCTCGCCACCGGAACCGGAAATCACATCGGCGATGCTGATGTCGTCCAGAACGCTGTTCACCACGGGCAGGGCAATGGTCTCGATGGTATCGGCAATCAGATCCTCGTTCTCATTGATGGCCAGCTCCACAGCCTCGGCGAGGTATTCGTTCATCTTCTCGTTGATGGTGCCATCTCCCAGGATTCCCTCGATCTCGGAGTCAACCTCACCCAAGTGGGTGCGCACCTCCAGGGACTTGAGCTTCAGGTTGCCACTGATCACGCCCAGCGAGTACTTCAGAGTTCCCCAGATAACCATATCCTTGATGGCGAACTTGGCGTGTCCGGCACCGATCAAATTAACGGTGAATCCAAACTTCTTCAGCAGCACACTCAGGTCGTATTGGGTGTCCACGTTCACGTCGCGGAAGGAGAACTTGTAGGTGACCTTGCTGGTGATGGCGTTGACCTTCATCTCATCGACTTCGAAGTCGTTCAGGCCATTTAGACGGAAATGATCGACGGTACCCTTGACCTTCAGCGCGCTAGTATCGATGTCGATATTCTTATGATCGATTCTGAGGGGAGCCAATGGCGGAATGCCCAGACCGGCGAAGCCACAGGGCATCTGCTCCTTTAATCCCTCGATCAAATCCACAATTGTGCTGGAGATCGATTGGGTTTCTAATAAATAGATGTTCCATTAGGTAAAGGTTTATAATCATTGGCTCATTTGGGATACTCACGAATGGGCTGACCCACGGTAGCCGCACTGGCAACGGCCACAAATGCCAACAGAGCCACGAAAATTTTCATTATTGCTTTGACTGAGAGTCCTACCGACTGATCGTAGTACCCACGGTATTTATACTACTCAATCGGCCAACCGCACGAGCGGCTTTTTATAGACGATCCACCTTTCAGGTGGGGTTTCGATAAGGCAGCTTTGGAGCCGAGAACGATTTGATTAGCCACCGGCCATTCGATCGATGCCTTATTGCTGTCTTATCTCGGCCACCGATTTCGCGGTGGGCAAATTTTTTAATTTTAATGATTGTTTATATATACATTGGGGCACTTATCCCGAGGAAATGATCAGATCTGCAAGTGGGATAAAAAGGTAGATAGTTCTTGCTCACTCAAAAACATTCCCTTCCTGTGTGAGTGTGATCAAAGTCTATTTGGGTTGTGTCACCTAAGATAATGGTTCTAGGTTTATTTTAAATAGTGTTTTTAAAAAGGGTTCATTCAATAATTCGTTTGAGATTGATTTGACCCACAAACAAGTCGTTAATCTTGTTTCTAAGGGAAATTATCTCAGTTGATATGTCGGGGATCTAAAACATACGATCCGATAATTTAAAAAACACATTATTAAAAGCACTTTAAACAAAATGACTTTTTTAAAGTATTAAGTTCAAACAACTTAAAAATCTAAGGAAATTTTTTTTTTTTTTTAAGTATCAATTTTAAATGCGCCAAAGCCCAGAAAACCCCAAAATGATAACCTTCTTAAGAAGTTCGTTTTTGTATTAAAATAATCCCTGCACTTCTGTGGATCTAAAGTCTGCGGATATTTTGTTTTTTGATTTGCAATCTAGCCTTTTTCGAGTGCGTTGAGTGATTTACGACCAACACTTTGAGTGGGTTATTAAAAGGACTTACGGATGAAGCTATTAATAAACGAAACCAGACGATTATTACTTGATGTCTGGGCAAATGCTCTCTAAATGAATTATGAGCCCTAAAGTTTCCGACTGTCCTTGCTTAACAAAACTTCTTAACAGTTCGTCAGCAAATGTGTTAGTTCCCATTATAAAATCTTAATCAAATCCGCCATAAATCACTTATTAAATAGCTCTAAATGTTATGAAGAGTGCCTGACAAGTCTATGAAACTTCGATGTCGACTGAATTTACCCCCAATCGAGTGATAGAAATCAGTCAACATCGGTAATCCGTGGACACCTGCAAAGAGTTTGACGCAGTTTTCACCGGTAGCCCAGCTATTTGTCTTTAAGCCAACTGTTTTTATTTCCCAATGATAGGCAATATACATTCTCTAAATGATTTGACATCGATTGGCCAATTGCCTGTCGAGATTAGGCCAAAACAAGCCACTTAAGCGATACAAGTGTTCTTTTTGCTTTGTGGTCTTACAACCCACTTGCCGTGTGATTGAATTCCGTCGAGTTAAATCGGGAGCCTATCGTGAATCGGGCCCTGCTAATCAGTACAAATATGTTAACCCGACTAAGTGATCCCGCCTCCTCAACCCCCGTCCTCAAAACCCCCAACATTTTTGTATAAAAGCCACTGAACGTCTGAAACAATCAATCAGGTGGCTGGCTATACAATGAAAGCTATCGTTTGTGTCTTTGTGGCCCTTTTGGCCTGCGCTGCGGCTTATGATGTTGAGCTCCTTAGCGAGGAGCAGTGGAACCAGCTGGTCGAGCGTAATCGTAAGTGCTCCAAACTAACTCTTCAAAATAAGAGGGCTAATTAGGTTGTAAACCACCGTCAAAACAGCTGCCAAACCCGATACTCAGGGCCTGATTTTGAATGGATCGGCCAAGAAGGCCATCCAGGGTTTGCTGTACCAAATGCCATGCGGCTGGCCAGAATATGGAATCCCCCCATTGGCGCCCTACACCAATGCCGATCTGCGCATCCACTTGGCTGAATCTGTTGTCGAGTAAGAACTTACTAATAATATATTAAAATGTTTGTTAGCTAACCTAACTCTCTGAGTTAGCTCCCTGTTGCAGTTCCTGCGTTTCCGCTTCGACGGCCTGGAGAATATGGAGATCAAGAAGCTGAAGGTCAGCTACACCTTCAGCAAGAAGGTCAAGTTCCACTTCAACTTCAAGGAGCTGAAGGCCAGCGCCCACTTTTTGGACACCGACACCTTCGTGGATCTGCTGAAGAAACTGGGTTTGTCGGTGCGCTACGAGAGTTCGGGACCTTTGAGCTTCAGCCTGGAGAACCTTTCGATCCAGGGCGAGTTCAAGTACAAGATGCCCTTCATCTTTGGCTCCATCAAGATCTACAAGTTCAGCTGTGTCGTCGGTCTGGGCGGCGTGACCTCCAACATTGGCGGAATTATGGGCAACGGAAGGATCAATGAGTTTATCAATGACATGATCGACAAGGAGGTTCCGGCCTTTATCAATGGTTACCAGACGGCCATTAGCGACAAGATCGAGGAGATCTTTGTGCCGCTGGTCAATTCGTATCTCACGGGTCACAAGATCTGGTATCTGTTCAGCATGCTGGGTGCCGTCACTGGGTCCTGCAACCCAACTCCCGCTCCCTGGTTGGCCGTGGAGTCCAGGAAGATTGAGTAGAAAGCAGCACCAACAACAACATCAATAAAAAGCAATCCAAGCGAGTCCACCGATCTACGTTTTAATTAGTCCACCATTTCGACTGCTATCTTCTCCACAATAAGGCGATATTGGCTTATCGCCCGGTATTGATTTCGGTATATAAGACTCTGGCTGGGGGTTTGCCAATTCAGTAGCAAGTTTAGTTGCTAAAAAGCCATAATAAACCATGCGTTTCCTGGTAGTCTTGGCCTGCCTGGTGGCCGTTTGTGCCGCCGGCACTCTGCCCAACAAGGTGGAGCAGCGTCTGCGGGAGCTGGCGGATCAGAACGGTGACATCGATCTGTTCGCGGAGCCCCAAGAGGGAGTTGAAGGTGAGACAAGGTCAAGAATATAGGAATGCAGGACAATTATTTGTGTATATTTGTTAATCGTTTGAATTACTTTGAACTTAAGTTTTTTTGATGCAAAATATCTATTTGAAATTCTTTAGTAAGAATCATGTATATTTCATTTCCGTTTCTTTAAAACTATTATAATTAAAATCATCATTTATAATCAGTATTTTCTAATTTGAAAATGTTTCGTGTTTACAAATAAACACTTTTTGCGGTTGGACTTAAAAAAAAGATTAAAAAGAGTAACAAGACTTTACCAATGTTTAACTTTTCCAACTAAAAATCAAAACCAATTCCCCAGTTGCCCCGCAGTTCATTGTGTCCTGGCAGGCGCGTCGCTTCATCCGCAAACTCCAGAAGCAAATGGAGTGCGGATGGCCCCAGTACGGCATTCCAGTGCTGGCTCCTCTTCGCATCAACGAATTCGATCTGGACTTCAAGAAGGGCATCTTCGAGACCCTGAACAACGTGTTCCACCTCAAGATCGCCGGATTGGATGACTTCAAGATCCAGAAGTTCAAGTTGAACGTGATCACCAGCAAGGTGACCTTCGATTTCCTGTTCACGAACATCGACACCACTGCCCAGAAGTACAGCACCGACACCCTGATCGATGCCCTGCGCCAGTTGGGCTTGTCCGTGGAGTACGAGGGATCCGGAGAGCTGTTGTTCGATTTGGTCAACCTGCGCATTGCCGGCACCCTGAAGTACAAGCTTCCCATGCTGTGGGGATCCGCCAAGATCACCTCGCTGAAGACCACCGTTTCCCTGGGTTCCGTCACATCGGACATCACCGGATTCATGGGCAACGGCAAGATCAACCGCGCCATCAACAGCCAGCTGGAGAACATCGTGGTGAAGGCCATCAACGGCAACCAGGACACCATTTCCGAGACCATTGAGAACGCCATCGTTCCCCGCGTGAACAAGATGCTCAAGGGCAAGGACTTCTGGACCCTCGTCGACCTGATCCTCTCCAGCAGCGATGGCGAGAGCGAGGACGATCCGATTGTCGTCGACTGCGATCCTGCCGCCGATCCCTGGGCTTAATTTCAGCACGGGATGTAAATAAACACTTGTCGATACTTTCAAACCCTGGTCTACTTTTGGGGGTAAACTCTTTCTATAGTTATATTTAACTATTATTTGCTGCTTCTAATTGAAGAACAAATCAATACATTTTAAATTACGAAAATACCGATGAACTACAAAGATATACAAACATTGGTGTGATTATGTCTGTAATTAAAATCTGAATCTGAAAACTTTCAATTCAGTTCTGGTTGCGAAAATGTATTTTTGACTTTTAATTTAAGTAACAACTTTATCCTGATTGCCATTTTATATTCTAGTGCAATTGGGATGTGCTTTTAAATATTGTTAAATTCGAATTCCGCACGATTTTGAGAACACAAACCTGTGTCTCCTTTGCACCTGCCTAATCCAATCTAATCGATTTTCGCCTTGAGTGGCTAATCGTTATTTGCTGATTAGTTGTCAGAAAAAACGACTTGGTTGTGTTGAATCATTAGCAGTTTCTGTTTGGTATTCGTGATGAGAGCTTCGTGTGTGATTTTTGTGGCCCTCCTTTGTTGCTCCTTGAGCTGCGCAAAGCTTTTCGATGACGAGCTTCGTGAACTGACGGAGTTCCTTCGTCTGCAAATGCGATGTGGATATCCTGCCAGAGGGGTTCCCATTTTGGCTCCAGCTCAGATGGCCTACAAGGAAATCAATACAAGAACTGAGAGCTTTGGGTAATTAAATTATTGTTTTCATTATCCGTATTGCTTCTAACATGGACAGTATTATCTTACAGTTGTCAGGGAAACTTTACTGAACTGATTATCGAGGGTTTGGATGGCTACGAATTTTCTAAGCTGGAATGGAACAACGTTTTGCACACCATCAAGTTTGACATAAACTTCCCCAAGATTTCCCTGAAGAGCTCAAATTATAAACTAAATATTTTGGCTCGTCTGTTTGGCGCCGATTTCTCCCTGTGGGGTGATGGTGTATTCAATCTAGAATTAATCAACTTCCGAGCTTACGGAAAATTCATTATTCGTCCAAAAACGGCCACCAGTGGAGTTTATGTTAAAAACTGGGATGTCACCTGGGAATTGGAGGAGGCTAAATCGCAGACAACTGGCATTATGAACAGTCGTTTGTACTCGAAATTTATAAACGATTTGGTCAAAGAATATCTGGAGCTGCTGATCAATGATAATCCCACGGAAGTTTCCCAGTTTATGGAGGAACTGATCGTTCCACCCATGAATTTGGTGTTGGATAATGTGGCCTGGTATGAGATTGCCGCTATCATTGTGGGTCTGGTCGATGGTATTTTGCCAGTGGAGCCGATTTGTTGAAGTGCTGCCGTCGAGGAAGTGGACTGCCAGGTGTTTCAAGTGTTTAAATGTGAATATATGTGAATTAAGTCAACTGCCAGGTGTGTCAAGCGGTTAAAAGTGAATAAATGGCTTAGCAAACATTTGATAAGAAACTAATTGAAATTATGTGTGGTCTTTTTGGTTCAATGTGAAGGTTTTCTTTAATTTTTTTTGAGGGGATTAAATCACAAGAGATATCGTAGTTTTATAACTAATAACGAATTTATAGTAAACACTTTTTTTAATATAAAAAAATCTTTTAAACTACTCACATTCTTATTATAAATTCAGTACTAATAAATCATTTCTTCTTGAACTCTCTTTTTAGGTAAGTTCGATTAGATTTCCCGTTTATTGGCAGTGAGTATAAAGTATAAAGTATTCCCGGCCTTCATCACGAATTTCTATTTTTGGGGAATACCATTTAGTGTTCTAATCGTTTCAACCATAAATTAATGTTGATCTTTGTGCGTTGAGGGGAGGCGAAAGCAAAGTCCATAATCGGATTGGGAAATGTGGAAAACGCAGCCGAGCAGCGCCAGCAGGACATCTCAATCGTCGGGTTCAAACCGAAGCACGAGTCCTCTCACAGCAGGACATCGACGGGTGGTCCTGCGAGTTTCGGTCCAACACTTTCTAGCCTCAGATTTGCGAGTGGCTTCGCCAGCAGCTGGTTTTTTGTCACTGTCTCCTATTTTTTTCCAAACAATCTGTTCCAGATTTCGTTGAGATTATTTTTTAAAATGCGGTCTAATGTCATCATTTGTTGTTAATTAGTTCAGAATACTGTGGAGCATCTCCTTGATCTTTTTATCTCTGATAACTCTCTTTTCAAACTCTCCAGCATTCTTTCACCGCAATGAAATTCGTTTTGGCTCATTTCATTTGCAATTTACGAGCCATCTTTCTCCCTTCTTTACGTATTTCAAGGCACACCTTGCGTCGTCTCAAGAGATTGTCATAATGCAAAAATAAACAAAAAGCCGTTTTTCGGTTTTGTCACGAGTACGTGCTCAGTGCCCATCTGTGAGATGTCCTGCTGCTTGCGGTATTGTCTCGAAGGAAGGTTTACGACCTACCGGACAGTCTGTTGCATTGTGCATTGTCCTTGCCGACTAACAGACTTTTTGGCCACATTCGGAGCCCAAAAGAAGCCAAGCCAGGCGAAATCGAGAACCAGAACAGAGAACTAGCAAGAGGCAACCCAACCCCATCCATTTGTTGACATTTACGATGCAATTTTCCAAAAGCCATTAAATTCTTTTTGCTCGGAGCCTCGCTTTGGCCTAGTTTGATTAGCCTCGATTTGTATATGACCACAAAAAATCCAGTGAACTCATCTCGTCGTCAATGGGGAAGCACTTAAGTGCTGGTTTTTGCATATGCTCTAGGTTCCCTGTGATGCGGCTCGAGGATCTCAGCTGGTGGTAGAAAATGTTTCAAAAGGATCTCAAGCTTCCTTTAATGGTACCCCATAATGGAAAGGTCTCAAGGGTGAATCTTTTGTAGGCGCATCTTAAGATTCTCGTTAAGTATATTAAAACCTGATATTTTTATTTATATGCTGTACAATTTATTTTGTTTAAATAACTTCACATCAAGAAGTATATACATGATATAAATATTTAACCAAAATATTTAAGAAACCTAAAGTTGTTTTAAACTTTTTATAAACAACTCCTTCACCTTTCAACTTAAGTTGTTAATTAGTTTATTCTTCTTTAAATGAACTCTTTGTTGGGGGCTTTTCAGTGTGTAAGATAATTAGCTGGAATCCCTTTCATAGTTCCGTTTTAGCTCTCAAACCAACCCCTCAAAGCGAGTTTTAACCACTTAACAGGACCGTAAAATCCCCACTTTGAAGTTGCCCACATTCCTGTACACCACCTTAGACCAACTTTAATTGCCAACGCTTGGTTTTTGGGCCTCCTGAGCGCTTTCAGGCCTCACCTGTTTTCCACCAGTCTGCCTCCACCAGGCTAATTGAAAGAGCGAGTGCAAAGCTTTGCTTTTCATTTTCCACACTGGTGAAAGACGTAAATATTTGCATTCGAGGCAACTCCTTTGCGCCAAGGATTGACTGCCAGAAATTGGGGTTAATTTAAAATTTATGTTGCACTGAATTGTTGAACACTCGAATTAGGCTTCATTAGAGAGCAGCTCTGAAGAAGGGGGAAATAAATCATAGACTGCCAAGCCAAGGAACGAGATAAGATACAAAATGGGTTACGACAAAGGTCGAGATACTCCGTCCATATGGTCCATATCCTTTTGTTTACTTAAAGAAGCTGCCGTCGTTGTTTGCCCTCTTGTTGCGCATTAAATGGGTTTTAATTTGAAACGTAGTATGATCGCAACTTGTGCGTCCCTCGCCCCTTTCGCGTCAATTGTCCTGGCCAAATGAACGGTGAAAACGAGATGTGGAAATTCAAAATACCCAACGCAAGGATTCGCTGTAATTGAGCAGCGCAATTTCGTGAAAATCGCACGCGAAGAAAAGGTGCGCTGTCCTGTAAATGAACAGCCGCCACCGTACAAAAAAAAAGGAAATATAGGAGCGAAAAGGATGCGACAGGAGGTTGCAAGGATGCGGCTCAGTTTTGTACGCTTTACTTTTATTTTTTCAATTAAGGTTGACATGCCCCTGCTCGCATCTCGAATTTGTTTGGGCCAAGTCAAGCTGAAAATTGCGCATTTGCTGCGACTTGCAGATGGCTTGCCATGGCACTTCGTCCTCGAGGAATGTCGAAAGTTTTGCCTAACAGGATTACATCTTCTACTTGCAGTCTGTTCGTCCTTACTTAGTTGTTTCGTCTGCAACTTGGGCTTATCTCCCTTGTTCAAGTCCCACCGCTCCTTCTCTTTAGAGATGAAAATGATGGGAATCAATCAATTTGTTGCTCTGCTGGTTGCTTTAATTGAGAAATTCCTGGAAAGTGGGTTTGTCAGGGAGTTTGGCAGCGACTTAATTAATTAATGTCCCCCCAGGATTTGAAGTTTGCAAGGTCGGACATTTCGTTTCATTTCTGTAATGAACTTTATAATCCTTTATTATTATGAAGACGAAGTGAATTGTCAAGCAACTTCAACTAGATAAAAAATAATAATAAATTTTTGGTTGGGAAACCAATTCGTTAAGAATGTTTAAAACAATTTATTTCTTGGAAAAGTAAATAAATATATTCTCTATATCAATACTTTTTATTTTATATATCAATCTCCTTATAGATTCCTTATCGTTTGTTTTTACTGCTAATCAATATACCGATTTCATATCTGCTGGTACCGCTAATGAAGCCCACATGTGCGTTAGCTTTACTCTTTCGCATTCCGGCGAACCATCAATCAATCAATCAGTGATTTCAATTACACTCCTTAATCCTTGCCTGGCATGCACAAGGAGGCACTCGCTGGCAAACACTGAATATGACTTATTAGTCTTTTGACAGCTGTCAAACCAAGGAACGCAGACACTTGCAGTTGGCCGCGATTGTGATTCCTTTTCCGTTTCCGTTGCCATATCCAAATCAGATCTCGTTCAACGGCAAGCTGCTCCATTAGCATGACAAAGAGGTAGGTGTCCTGCCGATTTCCTTACGGCTTCTACCACCATTCCGACTTCCAGCAATGGACAGCTGTTGCAGGGCACAAAGTCGTATCTTTGATGTGACACTTTTGACAAATGTTTACACCTTTAACCCTTTGGCGCCATTGTCTTACGGTTCCTGGGGGTTAAGACCCTCGAATTTGAAAGTGGTACAAAATACAATCTCTGTTCGAATTGTTTACGAGTCTTTGTACATTAAATGTTTCATTAGGGACATTTGTTAGGATTTTATAGGTTCCGAAAACCAAATTCGTTTGAAAACTGTTGAATGCAAAATGTATAAAGAATATTTAGAGCAAGAACGTGGATATTTAGTTAAACCATACAAAAAATGGAAATTATAAAGCATAGATTCCATTTAAAAATTTAAAAAACAACTTCTGGCTACATTTTAGTTTTGAAAACTATAGTTCGTTAAAAAGTTAATGATAAGTTTTAATAAATTATCTTTACAACAACACACAAATTCCTTGTGTATTTTATGATACTTTATGTGGTTTTCTGCTTTTCTAAGTGATTTTTTTTGCAATGCCCTCTTTAAATTCACCCAACTCATTTGCAATACCATCCAACCTTGACGAAATAAAGTTATTGCCGCTTGTCAGCAGCTATGGCAACAATTTCAAACCCATCCCGAGTCATTCATCAAAATTATGTCAAATCATGCTAGCGGCTGTAAAAAATTGCCGAAAATCCTCCATGAGGATAAATAAAAAATTTTCGGGGGAAAAAAAAAAGGAAAGCGGCAAATGCTAATGAAAATCAATGCAAAACTGCACAAAAATCCGTGCAACCGCCAAGACATGAGTCGCATCATTCACGGCGCATGCGCAGCTGCCTCGGGACCACTACTCACCATTCACTACTCACTACCCACTGCTCACATGAAGCTGTCATGTTTCTGGGCAGGCCACACCGCAGTCATCCTCATCCTCATCCCTCAGTCGACAGACAACAATTACAATTTCCCTCCGCCCAACTGCAACGTCATTCCTTGTGCCTGGACTCTTCATATTTTTCCTTGCGGCTGCCTTCAGCTGATTTGCATTTTTAATCTCATAAGGATGTGCTGCCAGGCATTGTCCTTCGAATTGTGATGTATTTTTTTTTCTCCGTGCTCCGTGCGGTTACTCAAGCTGCAAGCCGCCAAGATGGAAGAAAAAAATCTCAGTCAGCCAAAAACGGAGAGAAAAAATCAGCCCCCCTGGCAGGGGTCTTCCTTTCCTTTCCTTTCTGATCTACATATGTTTAATCCCGGATTTCTGACACGACAGACGAATAGCTGTCCGTCCTGCCGGCTTGCTCCTTGTGTGAGAGTGTCTGTAATCCTGGCTGTCTTGGGACGCCTCATCCCGTCACGTTACGCTTGAATAATTAGACGTAATTAAAGTTCCTTTTACTACACGATTCTCAGTTTAGCTTTCGTGTTGTCGGGATTAGGAGTCAAGCCGATTCCCAGCGCGCATCTAATGTTTGCCGACAGATCCTGCGGATGATGAGGAGCTACCCA